AATAACATGCAAGGACCCGGAAGTGAGCTAACCGTTCTTTGACAGCCAACAGTCTGTGAAAATTAGTAGAAAGATCCAAAGTTAATGTCTTTAGAATATACAACCTAAGAAAACTTCACAGCTGTCATGTTAAGGCTTTCTAAGTAGACAAATAAGTGCTTCAAATTCATTTATTCATGGGTACCAAGTACGTCATTTCCGGAATGCCCGCCGCCATCTTTGTGACCGACTCTCACCGTTTGTTTACACTCGTCATGGCAGCAAACACAGCGCATTTAAACGGGAAAGAGAGAAGAGAGATATTTGGTAAAGACGGCGATTATTGGATGCGATCCCTATTTGTTGCCCCCAACTGTATTTTGTTTATTGAATTCGGCTAAGTGTCTTCCCCAACTAACTTTTCCCGACATATATATTTATCTTGTTCACAATCCATCTCCATTCACCGGAGAGAGCCTGAAGGCTTTTAAGAGCACAGATGCATATCAATACGCCGTTGCCGGGTGGGTGAACGACACCAAGATATGGCATGTGGAGAAGACACACCTACATGTGATCACAGCGAAGGTAAGTAATTTACCAACAATCATAAAACGTGTTATTATAGTTGTATTTATGTCTAAAGTGATGATGTTAGCTTGCTAGCCAGTTGCTAGCATATCGTATTTCTAGCTAACATCATAACTCCAGCTGGCAGCTACAGTAGCTATATATATTGTTTTAAAGCAACATACTCTTCTTTCAATGACAAATTGCAAGAGGTCCATGTTTATTTCACGATTCTCTGTCACTTGCACTATTGTTATATTTCGCGTTGCTCTATCTTTACTTGTTTTTTGATGTCTTAAGGATATTGTATGTTGTAGCCTACTTTTGGAGCAGCCTGGGACTTCAGATATTAAATGCCAATCTGCGCTGTAGCTATTGTATTTGACAATAAACCTTTGAATCTTACATTTGTACAAGCTCAGGAGAGTTTAGCTTTTATATGACAAAATTAATGTACTGCATTTTTCACTTAACAGGTCAATCATTCCCAGGCTTTGAACAGCAAACCAACATCTCCATGGATTGTGGTGCAGGAGGACGGGACAGTGGTGATGGCGCATTGTACATGCATGGCAGGGTTAGGAGAGGTTTGTTCCCACGCAGCAGCACTTATGTTTACAGTTGTGGCTGCTGTTGAGAAGAGAGAAAACCAGACATGCACAGAGAAGCCATGCACATGGACACAGCCTAGCACTAAAATGGTGAAGTACGATGAGGTGTCTAACATCTTCGCCATCAAAGAACAAGTTCAAACCGAAGTCCTGTTTCAGCACATGAGACCATCTGCTGATGATTTCAAGTTATTCTGTGAACAACTCCACCAAAGTGAAGAACAAGAGACAAAGCCCAAGAAAAGTGCTATCCTGTCGGTCATCGAAGGCCATTCCCACAGATACACGCCAAAGACTGTACAACTGGATCTGCCAACACCCCTTACCAGTCTGTATCAAAGCAGCAGACTTGTACTGGATTTGCCTGCACTGCTAGAGGAGGGTGCCAAAGTCTTTGAGGAGCTGAATCTCACACCAGAACAGGTAAGAAATAGAAATGGCTTACGGTAAAATAAAAGCGTGTCACAATGCTAAATCCTAAACATCAACAAGAATAACTTCACTGCTTTCTGATAATTACAGCTCTTTTGATAGTTCAATTCTTTTTGAGTGTTTGTTAGTTGAGGAGAAGACCAGGAAACAGAGTAGGTCGAGGGTCTGGTTTGAGCAGAGCGCAGGGAGAGTTACTGCGTCATCCTTCCATGAGGCAGCCAAGACAGAGAGCTCTTCGTCTTTGATTAAAAGAGTTTGCTATCCTCGCTCCTCTCAGTTTTTCCACTGAAGCGACCAGGTATATATATATATATATACATTTAGGCAACAAGACTAAATGATACATTCTTTCCACTACTTCATCATGAATAAAGACAATAATGGAGTAACTATATATTATGAGGGTAAAACAAGATATTAACATTCTAATAACAGTATTTTAGGGACTTTTTAAAGTGATGAGTTTTTTTCCAAAATGTTCAAAATAACATGTTCTTTTCCTCAGATGGGGTTTACAAAACGAGGACACTGCCAAAAAGTCTTACCTGGTGGCTATGCAAGATCACCATGAAGACATTAATGTTGCAGCATCAGGGCTCATCCTTAACCCAGAGCTGCCATGGATTGGTGCATCCCCAGATGGTATCGTGACCTGTGCTTGCCATGAGCCTGGCATTTTAGAAATTAAGTGTCCTTTCAGAGCTAAAGACCGCAGTCTACTTGAATGCACCAAAGACTCGCGGTTCTGCCTGACTGTCCCTGAGGGAGGTGTGATGAGCCTAAAGCTGGATCACAGCTATATGTATCAAGTGCAGGCACAAATGCGTGTCGCAGAGGTAATGTTCTGTGATTTTGTTGTGTGGACACCTCAAGAACTTTTTAAACAGCGCATCATGTTTGATGGCGCATTTTTTGATGTTGCCCATTCAAAGGTGGTAAACTTCATCAGAACGGGGATACTACCAGAGTTGTTGGGTAAATGATTTACTGTGCCACGCTTCTCCCCCACTGCAACCTCTGACAAAACATCTGGGGGACATTAAGAAGCTGACAATAAATAAGCTCTTGTCAGACACTGGTCTTTTTCTTTTGTCTTCATGGTCAGGTTTTTGTGTACCCATTAACCTTACATATTCATTCACTGTAGATTGTGCAATAAATAACTGTATCTAATACTTGCAGATGCATTGTAGTATAAGTAGGAGTATTTAAAAAACCTCAAAGAACAAATACATGGATAAAGTGACGTTTATTAGTTCAAAACTGGACATTTTAATGTATTAATTGTAAAAATAATAGAGAAGATCCAACATACATAGAAAAGGGAATACACAATAAGCATTTTGTTTCATTTAGCTAACGCTTTTATCAAAAGCGACTTACAAATAGTATCTATCTATTCTGTGGGTACCACAGATGGGCAGACATTACAAAGAGCACAGCAAACTGTTACCATCTTGTCAAGGGAAGTAGGTTGTCCTTGAGTGGCTGCTTGGCAAAGAGACAGCGGGATGGTGCTCTGAAGGATGGTGTATTTGTTCCTGACCAGGCCAATGACTCTTTCCACATGGATCCTGACGGCAGCGAGTCCCCTTGTGGATTCAAGTTCCAGTGGATGCAGTTGCTGCTTGCCTTTGGTGAATGCTGGTATTTTCAATTGTGCATTATACAGTCCCACAGTGTCTTTCACATTGAAGCCTCTATCAGCAAGAACAACATCTCTTGGTGATAATTTCTCAAGATATGAGCAGTTTTCTGTAATGTACTTGTCGCTTGTGCGTCCCCCCCAGCCCTTTGACACAAAGGATGTAACACCCTGTGGTGTTATAGAAATTAGATATTTTACAGTGTTGTGGTGCTTGTAATAGAAGTATGTTTGTGCACGTGCCCTTAAATTCTTTGGCTTCTCTACAAAAATTTCAAAACAGTCAATGATGGAAGTGCAGTTGCTAAAATTATCCCTGAAACACATGGGCAGACTAACCTGAATTTGATCTTTTGAGGGCCAAAATATAAGTGGTGACAGTCTGACATACATGACATCTAAAGTATTGTTGAACATTCTGACAACACTGCTCTTAGACATATGAAAAAGATAAACAAAAAAATATAAAGGTAAGTTAAGCTATGAAAGGGAGTCAGTCTTGGACCGGCTTTCACAAACCCAGACAGGAAACCAAAAACAACCATCATTTTAGCATAGCTTGGTAGGCCTGTTAGTTCCTGTACCATCTCATCATTTCCTTTGAAGGCTTCTTCATTGAAAGACAGCGCATTAACTTTGTCCTTAAGACAATTAACCTCAGCTCTTAATCGTGCACACTCGTTTGTCAATGCCTTGACTGTAGCTTGGCAGGCTGCATTTGAGCATGGTTCCACAATACCTGAGCTAAGAATGGCTTGAGAGTAACTGTGGTCATCTTTCACACATTCTACCTGTTCAACTAAGGTGATGTCAAGCCCAGTGGCATCACTGGTGCTGGGAGGTGCCACAGTCTCATGGTCACTATCAGGAACCAAAGTCTCAGTCCGTTTCCTTTTCATCTGCTGAGTATGCTCAAATCTGCTGGTGGCATAGATGCTTCTCTGCCGCTGTCCAGCTGACGTGTGCGCAAACAGGCTGGGGATGTAGTCAGGGCTCATGGGGTTGTCATTTTTTCTTCCTAAGCAGACAGAGGCAAACATGGTAGAATATTAATGTGTGTATAGGCCTCCTAATAAGATAATGACAAGAAGTATTACGATCCTTAACTGAAGTAAAAGTAGCAATAATACATGTAATATACATACACAAGTAATTTAAGGCATGCATTCAATAATATTGAGAACGGCAATTTCTTTCTCAATGTTCTGCCAGAAATGTGTCTTTTATTCAAATTCAGTCGGTTTCAAGCGTAAAGGAACACAGAGCAAAACTAATGCAGTCCTTTCGAAACTGGGAATATTTTACTCATGCTATGTTACCATTACACTGCTAACGGTAATTATTATTCGGCAACTGAATTATCTATGTTGAAGTATTTTGAAAACGTATTTCTGACAAAAATATAACAATAAGTGAAGAGCTTACCGGAAACAAAGTGTTGACTGCACAATCTGGAGTTAGATGTCGGCTGCCAGTGGTCCCTTCTGATGGCAGCCAGCCATTTATTACGACGGTCTACGTCTTTGGGGATCGATACAAACTGTAGTCCGGGGTTCCTCTGGCGACTATTGTCACAGCCCACAGCACAACAAATCCCAGGCATATCCACAAACTTTATTATTCACGATGTGTCTTTCTCTGTTGCTTCCTCCGTGTTCTCTGTTGTTGTAATGACTTGCTGTGACCGGACACCAAAATGGCGGCGCTAGAATACAAAAAAAAAAGCGCAAAACGCGCTGGTCTGACGTCACTTCCTGTCAAGTCCTAGCCGCAGCCGCCAAAAAGGACCCAACAGTCGCCAAAAAGGACCCAACAGTCAAACATGGATGCGAAAGAGAAAACAGGTATCCGCAGGTTTGTGTGTGATCAACTGCGTGATGAGCCAGACCTCAGGTACAGTTAAACAGTTACTTTTTACTGACAATAAGTATACTGGCCTTTGTGCTTTGACTGTTTGTGTGTGTTGCTAACTTTGGTCCACATGCTGTCAACAGGAATACACACAGGGAAACACTTGTTTAAAAATGTTTTTTTTTTAAATGTTCATTAAACAAGTCAAACGAGCTTAATGTTGTGAATTCAAGACAAAAATTACGAATGCTGTAACTTTTATGCGCCAATTAATTTACCATTAAGATAACACACATGACGCATGATGTTATGGTTTTCACCCGAACACAATGCGGGAATCAGCCTACTTTGGCGTTTATAAATGTAACGCTATCAGTTGCACACCTTTTGGTTGAAAGTGGTAACTTTTAGTGAAACGAGGGATGCCATTTTTTGGAAAACAGTATATCCATTTATCCAAAATACTCTTACATACAGCAACTCACAATGGATTGCCTGCAAAAACCTGTGACTCGTTCAAAATACTCTCTAATTGTATAAATGATTGAAAGTCAATACTTACCTGAGAACCAGGCAATCATTCATCAATGCATTAATTCATCATTCGACTAGTTGTTAAATCAGTGGCTCTTTCTTTTTAAATAGTAAATTACTAAACCATTTCCTTTTTAATATTGTGTTTGGATAATGAATACAAATACAGCATATACCACATGTTATCGTCTAACATTTTGAAATGTACTTAAAACAATCTACATGAAAAACTAGTATTGATCCACTGTAGGAATACTATTAAAAGTAGTGCCAACAAAATTACATACTCCCAGTTTCTAGCACTGAATAAAGTTGTCCATGTCATTTGGTAAATTAAGGTAAGGTGCGGTATTTTGTGTATAATCTATGAGCTGAAATTGGATATCCCATACTATCCTAATAGCAGCTGTGATTTTCAGCAATCTGAATTCCCTTCTTTCCAACGTCGCTGTGTCACCTTTTAGGTTTTGCATTAAAGAGTCTCTTCTGTATTTGAAGTCTTTATCTGTGTAAAATGTAATTTAGTGTAATGTGGGTTTTGTTTATTGTCTTCAGGTATATTTCCTAGGCTCAAAAACATAACCTCATGTTAATGATGTTGCTTACTATAAATGACCTTACACATCATGAAGTAATCTTTTTATTGTTTTATTTTTCCAGCACACTAACCTTAAGAATATTGAAAAAGCGATACCTGGAACGTGTGCAATGTGACTCATTAAGTCCAGAGGTCAAACATTTCCTAAAGCAGGTGGTTGAAGAGGCACTGATAAAAATGCAGGTATATGAATTACTCTTTAGCAAAGCTTACATTTTCTGTGAACTGTAACTTTTATATTCATCATTCCAGTTTTATATTAACTGCTAGGAAAATGATGAAAACGATAGTGAGCTGGAAACCAAGAAGTCCCAAAACAAAAGGAAGAGAAAAGATGAGGTGTTGAGTGGGGGGGAAGACGAAGATGAATCCACAGCAAAAAAGCCCCGTCGTCGGTCGAGCCCATCCTCTGGTAGGTTATAAATGCTTTCTTTGTTTGACGCGTTTAGATTCTTCAAGTATTTATTAATTATAGCATGTTCTTCTGTTAATTACTGAACGGAAAATGCCCTGAACCAAAATTAACAGCTGGACTCGGGCGTCAAATAATCATTAATTTCATAAATGATTTTGTGTGAGAAGGTTTGTTGTCTGTGGTGATGTAATCAGCGGTCTTCTTTAGTCCTTGCAAAAATCCATAGATATACAGGATAAAGTAAAAGAAAGAAATGCAGAATCTCCTAATATTCCAAAAGTTGGAAACAATAATGTTTTGACATTTGAGCTTAGAAAATGTCAAACATCGATAACTTGCAACTCTTAAGAAGAATAAAAAACTGTCTTAAAACCACATTTTTTTCATGCAGCGTCAGAAAATAAAACCCTCTCTCTTTTCCTCCGTACCCAAATCTCTAAAAACGGGGCTACAACGGAGCTGATCCAGATTTGCGTCCGATATGACGTAATATCGGAAATGTAGGCTGGCTTTACACCCACGGCCCTATCAGAAACGTTGCTATCAGAAACAATGCCCGACTGTTTTGGACGTAATATGGTCGGTACATGTTTACATTAGCATCGCTAACACTCAGAGCTAACCTGTACTGCACAGAGCATGTGTGTGAAGAAGCAGGAAATAAAAAGGAACTCACCTTGTGGTATAACCGGCAAGAGAGAAAGCCTTTGAGCTCCATACTGTTTCAGAAGTAATCCTTGATAATCCATGATATGGCTTTTCATCGCCGCAGTATCTGCCGGTAGAATCTCCCGCATGAGCTCAGCCCATTTTTTTTTTAAAGCTTTATTCCCCAAATCAGCACTTTTGAAACAGGAAGTGAAATAGAGGGATATGAGGCATGGCTAGAATGGGTGATCTGTTTGGTATTTTGAGCAAAACACTTCATAGACATGTTTTTTATATATTTGTATATATCTGAGACCTATGCTATTGCCTAAAAATAGCATGATAGGTGACCTTTAATCTTGTATGTATCCAAAGTGAGTCTTGTTGTCTTTTTGTCTTGTCATTGACAGAATCAGAGGTCAAAAAGGACTGCAAAACAGGAAGTGATGACAGTGAGGAGGAAGAGAAAGTGAAATCTGAGGATGAAAAGAAAGAGGTAAAGAAATCACAGCGCACCACAAACGGGAAGAGTAAACCGCAGATAAGCAGTGAGAAATCATCTGATGAAGAAATGAATGAGTCAGAAAATAAAGGCAAAGAGAGTAGCTGTGAGGACAGTCCAAAAGAAAAGGCGATAAAGAAAACGGATGCGACAAAGAATGGAGAGTCGGGAAGCAGCGATGCAAGCAAAGGAAAGAAAACACCTCAGAGTGATGAGGAGGATGAACCTGACACGGAGAGGGAGTCAGAAAAAAGTGAACAAATGAAAGACAAAGACCCCTCAGATGACAGTGAAAAAGGTGACTATGCAAAATGTATACTTGCATGTCCTATACAGACATTTTATTTGATTTCTGACTGACAATATAACCTTTTGTTGGGTTATGCAGAAGAAAAAGTCTTGGTGGAAAAGAAAAACAACGACTCAGACTCTGATGCATCGTCACTCACCTCTTTGGACGAGGAACAGAATAATGGAAAAGAAAATACACCAGCTGATAAAAAGAAGAAAGCCACGAAAAAAGTGGAGAAAAAAGAGAAGAGCGCCAGCGGTCCAAAGGTAAGCCCATGAGAGAAATCAATCAATATCGGAGGAATCAATCTTTATAGAGTTAATTAAGTCTCTCTGTCAGGCAGCATACGTTTTTTAATGCAGCAACATATTACATTGGTCAAATCCAATGTATAATGTACATAGTATTTTAACATGGAAGTTAGTCAAAATACAAAGGATCCATTGGGGGTCAGTAACAGCTTGTTAACTGTATTGGGGCATCCCTCCTTTGATTAAAAAATGATATTTTGAAAACAGATCACCAGATCATAGGTGTATGTTTGATAATTGTGAGGTTATTGCAATGTTGTATCTTCTACTCCCAACCTGTGTGTCCTCTGATTTATCATTCAGGGGAACGATGCATCCGTTGTGAGGCTCAAGCGATACATTACTCTGTGTGGCGTGAAGCTGAATTACAAGAAGGTGCTCGAGGACTGTCACTCGGTCCGCTCCCAGGTGGCTGTCCTGAAGAAGCAGCTGGAAGATCTTGGTGTTGATGGTCAGTGAGAGTACATTCACTTATTTGTTTTTCACACTTGCCCGTTATCAGGCATCTTGTCATCTTGTTTATCCGAGCATTAAAGAGCTCTTTTTAGGCCCTTTTTGGGCCCTTTTTGGGTTCACCCTCTCCTGAAGTGTGTTTTTATATAGGTTGTTGTGCATGTAAATGGTCTGCAAAGGCTTGAATCCCTCCAGAGGGAGTTTTCTGTCCAACACACCTTCCATAACATTGTGAAACCATGTAACACTCGCGCTCATATTGACAAACGCGCACAACACATTGTATGTGATAGGCTAACACATTTTCACTTTATTTGTAAAGGACACCATTTGATTAACTTAGGGCAACAGGGATTTAAGTGATAACTTGCTTCTTCGCTTTTTTTTCGAGCAGGTCAGCCATCTATTAAGAAATGCAGAAAAATCAAAATGAAAAGAGAGGAAACTCAGGAACAAGCTGATCTCGATGTCAGCAACATCATTGCCACAGAAGGTAACTTTATTCTTAGTTCTGACGCCCATTACTAGATTTGGTTTATGACCTGGTTGGATCAACAATTGCACAGTGCATGTATAAGAATGATCTATCGTGTTTGCTCATCATGTTATTGCACTTATTGCAAAATATAAAACCATTGATTCAATAGACCTTCTAATGTGGATACTTATCAGGTCGACCTAAGCGCAGAGGAACCTCTGCATGGAAGGAACGGCAGGACTTTCCGTCCTCCACATATCTGCGCACTGTGAACACCGGCTCTGATAGTGATGAAGAAAACAAACCAAACAGAGGGCGAAAGACGTAATATCGGAAATGTAGGCTGGCTTTACACCCACGGCCCTATCAGAAACGTTGCTATCAGAAACAATGCCCGACTGTTTTGGACGTAATATGGTCGGTGCATGTTTACATTAGCATCGCTAACACTCAGAGCTAACCTGTACTGCACAGAGCATGTGTGTGAAGAAGCAGGAAATAAAAAGGAACTCACCTTGTGGTATAACCGGCAAGAGAGAAAGCCTTTGAGCTCCATACTGTTTCAGCAATAATCCTTGATAATCCATGATATGGCGTTTCATCACGGCAGTATTTAGTTTAGACAGTAGCTGCCGGGTCCCGCATGAGCTCAGCCCTTTTTTTTTAATCAATTTTTTTTTTAAAGCTTTATACCCCAAATCAGCACTTTTGAAATAGAGGGATATGAGGCATGGCTAGAATGGGTGATCTGTTTGGTATTTTGAGCAAAACACTTCATAGACATGTTTTTTATATATTTGTATATATCTGAGACCTATGCTATTGCCTAAAAATAGCATGATAGGTGACCTTTAATCTTGTATGTATCCAAAGTGAGTCTTGTTGTCTTTTTGTCTTGTCATTGACAGAATCAGAGGTCAAAAAGGACTGCAAAACAGGAAGTGATGACAGTGAGGAGGAAGAGAAAGTGAAATCTGAGGATGAAAAGAAAGAGGTAAAGAAATCACAGCGCACCACAAACGAGAAGAGTAAACCGCAGATAAGCAGTGAGAAATCATCTGATGAAGAAATGAATGAGTCAGAAAATAAAGGCAAAGAGAGTAGCTGTGAGGACAGTCCACAAGAAAAGGCGATAAAGAAAACGGATGCGACAAAGAATGGAGAGTCGGGAAGCAGCGATGCAAGCAAAGGAAAGAAAACACCTCAGAGTGATGAGGAGGATGAACCTGACACGGAGAGCGAGTCAGAAAAAAGTGAACAAATGAAAGACAAAGACCCCTCAGATGACAGTGAAAAAGGTGACTATGCAAAAGGTATACTTGCATGTCCTATACACACTTTTTATTTGATTTCTGACTGACAATATAACCTTTTGTTGGGTTATGCAGAAGAAAAAGTCTTGGTGGAAAAGAAAAACAACGACTCAGACTCTGATGCATCGTCACTCACCTCTTTGGACGAGGAACAGAATAATGGAAAAGAAAATACACCAGCTGATAAAAAGAAGAAAGCCACAAAAAAAGTGGAGAAAAAAGAGAAGAGCGCCAGCGGCCCAAAGGTAAGCCCATGAGAGAAATCAATCAATATCGGAGGAATCAATCTTTATAGAGTTAATTAAGTCTCTCTGTCAGGCAGCATACGTTTTTTAATGCAGCAACATATTACATTGGTCAAATCCAATGTATAATGTACATAGTATTTTAACATGGAAGTTAGTCAAAATACAAAGGATCCATTAGGGGTCAGTAACAGCTTGTTAACTGTATTGGGGCATCCCTCCTTTGATACAAAAAAAACGATGATATTTTGAAAACAGATCACCAAATCATAGGTGTATGTTTGATAATTGTGAGGTTATTGCAATGTTGTATCTTCTACTCCCAACCTGTGTGTCCTCTGATTTATCATTCAGGGGAACGATTTATCCGTTGTGAGGCTCAAGCGCTACATTACTCTCTGTGGCGTGAGGCTGAATTACAAGAAGTTGCTCAAGGACTGTCACTCGGTCCGCTCCCAGGTGGCTGTCCTGAAGAAGCAGCTGGAAGATCTTGGTGTTGATCGTCAGTGAGAGTACATTCACTTATTTGTTTTTCACATTTGCCCGTTATCAGGCATCTTGTCATCTTGTTTATCCGAGCATTAAAGAGCTCTTTTTAGGCCCTTTTTGGGCCCTTTTTGGGTTCACCCTCTCCTGAAGTGTGTTTTTATATAGGTTGTTGTGCATGTAAATGGTCTGCAAAGGCTTGAATCCCTCCAGAGGGAGTTTTCTGTCCAACACACCTTCCATAACATTGTGAAACCATGTAACACTCGCGCTCATATTGACAAACGCGCACAACACATTGTATGTGATAGGCTAACACATTTTCACTTTCTTTGTAAAGGACACAATTTGATTAACTTAGGGCAACATGGATTTAAGTGATAACTTGCTTCTTCGCTTTTTTTTCGAGCAGGTCAGCCATCTATTAAGAAATGCAGAAAAATCAAAATGAAAAGAGAGGACATTCAGGAACTAGCTGATCTCGATGTCAGCAACATCATTGCCACAGAAGGTAACTTTATTCTTAGTTCTGACGCCCATTACTAGATTTGGTTTATGACCTGGTTGGATCAACAATTGCACAGTGCATGTATAAGAATGATCTATCGTGTTTGCTCATCATGTTATTGCACTTATTGCAAAATATAAAACCATTGATTCAATAGACCTTCTAATGTGGATACTTATCAGGTCGACCTAAGCGCAGAGGAACCTCTGCATGGAAGGAACGGCAGGACTTTCCGTCCTCCACATATCTGCGCACTGTGAACACCGGCTCTGATAGTGATGAAGAAAACAAACCAAACAGAGGGCGAAAGAGAGCTACAGACTGGGCCAACCTGCAGGGGATCATCAGTGACGATGCAGACAGCAACTGACTGGGACACCAGTGTTCTTAGATATGGATATTTATCTTTCGTTATGTTTTTTGTAAAAGTTGGCTTTACGTATGTTTTTGATACTATTACAAATGTATTTCTGAAACCTTTTGCAAAAAGATAGATTGTTCAAATTAACACATGATGTTGCATGTCTTGTTATACCATTTGAAATGTAATTCTATGCTATATTTCTAATAAAGTTGTTGTGCTTTGATCAAATAATTATTTAATTTAAACCAGAGCTTTAAACTATATGGGTTCCTGATTTCTATTGCTTATTCTAAAATAATAAAAAAGTAATCAATAATGCAAAAAAGGACAGGAAATGTATTAATTCAGTTAACAATACACTAATATGGAAACAAGTAACAGGTAACAGCAGTAATAGCATGTATCCGGACATATTTCCGGAACTAACGTAAGTAAGCTCTTGGATATTCGGAATGTTTTGCAGACGGACCGGTCCCACAGGGTAACGTGTCCGCTCAAGCTCCTGCAGGTCAATGAGATATTTCTTGTTAATAATTATTGTACCATCCAAGTAATTGCCTTTTGTGTGTGTGTACGGCAGTATTATGTTGTGTTTTTGCTTATTAATAAGTCGGGACGTATTTTCAGTGAGACAACGCATGATAAAACACAATAACTGCATGCATGTGACCCTCAACCCCTCTGTCAAGTATCAGTACTGTACATAATAAAATAAACGAACATTACATTTATTGTAACTATCGATATGGCTTTAACATAAATGGTGTGGGATATAATAATTGTTTTTTAAATCATGAATGAGTTTATCTATTACAGATTTAAGTTAATACGGGGCAATATGTTTTTAAAGACATAAAGTTGCACGATATATCTTCAATTTAGCCTCGTATCGTTTGCTACTTCATTTTTTATGGTTGCCCCAACTAATTCATTTTGATTTGCAAACTGACATTCAAGGGGTGTTTAAAAAAACTGGGTGTAAAAGGATAACTAAGTTGTAAACATCAGGTAGAACAATATATTGAAGCCACATTTAACTAGGATTCTAGGAAGATATGTGACCTTTCAATATTATCTGCAATCCCTTAGCCAAGCCTGTAAATGGGTGTATAAACTGTGTGCATATGGAAAATGTAAATACAGTGGGATGTGTGTTTTGCTTTAATCTTTTCTTATCAAGCTAATTCTACTCTTATACATTTAAGAGGTAAACATTGCATTGTCTTTTTTACTCCACTATATATCTGACAGCTGTGTGATTAGTTAACTTAACAAATAAAGATTTGGAAGTTGGAGAAATGTATTTATATTTTTTAAACCAAATTGTTAAGGTTTCACTTTAAACTCTGAAAACACCTGTTTTCACTGTGTTTTGACAAACCAATCAATTCATTAATGTATAGAGAAAATAATCAACAGATAACTTTAAAAACATGAGCTCCACCTCAACCAACTAAAACAGTAATCTTAACTTCATGCATGGCTAATAATAATGTAATGATATATTATACAATAGTATAACACTCACGAAAGACGTTTTCTTTCCAGTGAATACTTTGACTTTCAAAACCGTTGCTACATTTTCCAGATTATAATTATTCTTTAACTCTGTGATAAAGGTACTCTAACGTTAGATCTAAATACTTCCTCCACCGCAAATCATAGATATTTCAAAACCTCCAGACGCTCTGACACAGGATATATTATTTCATCCAATACAAATAAAACATGTTTTAATACCTTTCCAGGGAGTTTAAGGAAATTCAAATAACATAGACCCAATATTACACATTCCACGCAGGAATGGATGACGATGCGCCAGATGAAGCCTTTAAGGAGCTGCACACGGGGGACATTGGAGGATGGGGTGTTGCTCAGATAGCTGCTGGCACCGGGCTCGCTGTGTATGTGATATGGACCGGATTCGTACAGCCAGGCTTCAGGAAAGTCCCCTTGAGGCTACAGGTATGATATACATCTTAAATAAAGGTCCCCTATTATAATGTTTTTCATCAACATATTATAGATCTCAGATATATACAAAACATGTCTCTGAAGTGTTTGGCTCGAAATACCAAACAGATCATTGTAGCATCCCATAATCCCCTCTGTTTCAGCCCTGTTTCAAAAGTGCTGATTCTCTGTCTGTTACTTTAGATGAAAATAAGGAGCCACTCCCCACGCCCCTCTGAGAGATATTTGGTTAAAAAGAACACAATGGTGCTCTAGGAGGAGATTCGGGTGATAAGGTGGGGGGTGTTACCTTGGTTGGTGATTGGCTAATGGTTACACAAGCCAAAAAAAAATTATGACATCATAAAGTGGCCAAAATCTGATCAGCTCATTTTCAGACAGGTTTTTATATAAATGGATCAGGATAAAAAGTGAGCGAATATTTTTTCCTGAAACTTTCAGAATATCTTTACACAGAGGGGATACATGTTTATTAGGGTGGTCCTTAGTGCCATGTACATTTTCAAATTCATTTATTTTAAGCTCCAACCACCGGAATTCGTTATGATAGTCAAGAAAACTCTCCTGGTGAATTTTATTCAAATTCCAACAACATTTACCCCTCCCTCATAAACCTTGAAGTTTAGCCTCACGTAGGGTGGTCCTTAAAATTGAACGTTTTCTTGACTAACGGAATTCATTCTGGGGGTTGGAGCTTAGACTTTCCGACTTTCAATTTTAAGGACCTACCTAATGTTTATGTATAAAAGACATGAAAAAGTGGATTTTGCATAATAGGTGACCTTTAAAAAAAAACGTTTTTCTTAATCAGAAGTTCTTTATTATGTTTTCCAGGTCCCGTACATTCCTGCCAGCAGAGTTCAAGTGGATCATGTAATGAACTTGCTGAGAGGCCGAAAGGGAGGGCTTGTGGATCTGGGGTCAGGTGATGGCCGCATTGTGAGTATAAGCAGGATGTTTCGGCTACTTTTTCTTTCACTGCAATGGGTATTGATTGTGTTATTTTTTCTCTCTTTAGGTCTTGGAAGCTCATCAGCAAGGTTTCACTCCCGCTGTTGGTTATGAGCTCAATCCCTGGCTACTCCGCTTGGCCCGCTTCAAAGCTTGGAGAGCAGGCCATCATGAAAAAGTTTCATACAGACGGGAAGATCTCTGGAAGGTATGACATTTATAATCTGTATTATGGCACTTTCCTGTTACCAAGTTAAATTGGCCACCATTAATTGACAACATTTCAATATTTTATTTTGTCTTGCAGCAATGTGTGTTTTTGCAACAACATTATAGTGTAAATGCAAATGTCCACACTCCTAGAAAAAAAAAGATAGCAAAAAAATGTTGTATCTCTTCACAGGTCGACTTGACAGAATGCAAAAATATCACAGTGTTCTTGGCTCCTAGCGTGGTGAGTAGTATAATGTACAAATGCCTCTAAACTGTAAAATACCATCTCAATCTGTCAGCACAGGCTTTAGGTGTGGTTGTATTCATAACAAATGTATTATCATTGGGTCAGTTTCAGTAAATGTCTGTTAAAGTTTTTCTATTGTGTGTTATTGTTTGTTCCTAGCTTTCATTATTGCAGAAGAAGTTGGAGGCTGAGCTTCCTGAGGATGCCTTAGTGATAGCTGGTCGTTTTCCCTTCCCTGACTGGACACCGTACAGGGTTGAGGGTGAGGGTGTGCACAGAGCCTGGGCATACAACATGCAAGCACAAAGACAGAACTCCTTAAAGAAAAATGACAGCCACGAAAAGCAACCTCAACAATGAACTCACCAAGGACTAAGGCTCCACTCTAATGGTTGTCCCTACTCTTTTGGACTCCAGAATGGGAACATTAATTTATACTGTATATCATTGAGTTACAGCTTATTAAAATACCATCCATGGAATATTGTGTTCATTAACTTGACTGTCTGAATGCTTTTTGACTACATCTTAAACCAGATTTTTCAGACAAACTGGGACTGAAATTTAAAATTGAATGTGCTCTCTTCTACAGTCTGGGTCGGGGGATTCTTTCTTTTGGCAAGGTGTGTGTTAACATTGAAGGAAAACAACACCTTTGCCACAAGAACACTGTAGAATTGTTGTAATTACTACCTAAATGTTGTAATGTCTGCTTTGTTCATTATGACAGATACCCCGGTTATCTAGGCTCTTTCTTTTGTATACCCCATTTATCTAGGCCCTTTTTGTTTTGTTTTATGTATACATGTCACACTGTAGGACTGCGGGAAACGATATTTCGATATTTCTGGATGTATAACACATGTAGAATTTTTGACAATAAATCTGACTTTGACTTTGACTTGACTTTGAAATAAAGATGTCTTTAATTATTTAGACAATTTCAGAGACAATTTTGGATTCCATTGTGCAGCTATATTTCTACAGGTAGGATGAACACTAAAGGTACATTATTTGTGGGTGATGGTCAGACACATAGTGATGTGGAAATGTCTGTTGGAAAGTGTGGAATGTGGTTTTTCCGGCTCTGGCCAAAAACAAACCCTTGTGTAAGTGCATGAAGTTTGTTTTTTTGCTGTTGCTATTTCTTTTAAATGTTATAGTGTTTTACCTTGTGTTAGTTCTGCTATAAAAGCAATTTCTCTTAAAACCTATGTATGGAATAAAAATTGACCTTTCTTATGCACCATGCTGGACATTAATCACCCAATTTTAGGTAATGTTTGTGGAGCTTTTAGGTGAAATCCCAATGTGGCTGACACTAAATGTTGGTTTACAGTGGCAAAAACATGTAATTGTTGTAAAAATACAAATATATTTTCCATAATAAATCACTCAATTTAAATGTTGTGAATCACGATCAAGTTTTTTCAAGACTCATCCAACAGCATTAAACAGGATCTGATATGGTACATTAATATGGTTTATTTGTGTGGTATGTGGGAAAAGGCTCAGTGTACACTTTAGCAGATTGTGCAATGTTGTGCAATGCTGTCCTGCATTAGTAAATCAGTTTTGAGGGAGAACACATTTCCATGCTGTCTCCAGCAGAGGGACAATGCTATATGAGGCTTTTTAATATTCCTTTAGTCCTTTGAATATATAATAAATAAATGATTAATTTAGCAGATTTAAAAAAAAAAAAAATGTCAACCTTTATAAGTGTTTGTGCTCACGGATACATTACACTCTTTTGTCTTTAGTAAACACTTTAAACTTTGTCTTAAGTATTTGCAGTGGTGGAAAGTAACTAAGTACATTTACTCAAGTACCGTAAGTACAATTGTATGGTACTTTACTTAGGTATTTAAATGTTCTTGCTACTTTGCACTTCTACCCCACTACAATTCAGAGGTAAATCGTGTACTTTTACTCCACTACATTTATTTTGTACCTTTGGAACAATGATGTGAAAACTTTAAAAAATGATTTTAGTTAGACTTAGAATCAATATATAAAAGGGGAAAGTATTAAGTTAGCAGATTGTCTTTCTCTTCGAGAAAAAATGCCTCTTACTCTATAAATGTATGTGCTCGCGTATACAAATACACCATTTGTTTCTTTAGTGAAACTCTTTAAACGTTGTCTTTAGTATTTGTCAAAGTGTTTATAAAGGAGCGGAAATCGTGCTTTTATTATTGTGACTGACTTGACACAAGCTGATTGGTTTGGTGTTTGGTGGATTTTTTGCAGCTAAAGAGGAAGTTACGAAGCGAACCCTGTAACCAGCAGCGAGCTAGCTGTATCTTTGAGCCGCCCTAAGCACTGAGAAGAGGGAATAACAGGAACAAGAGCGCAGAGTATTATATATGTATTGTTTTTACAAATGTGCCCGATGTATTGTGTGCATATTCACCCGCTGTGAAATTACTAACGGGAAAGGCAAGTTAACAACACATGTCTATGTTTGACAGCTAGCAAATAATGCCTTCATCTTTCTAGAAGAGCTAGCGAGTTAGCCATCCGCTGCAACGCTAGCAGCTAGCTTCGAGCTATAGAAAGCTAATTAACGTTGCACATTTCTCCGGTGCTTGAGATAGATGTTTCACAGAAACAGCGGTTTGTTATCTTACTCAACGGTAAATGCATTTCAACGAGAATGCCGCTAACTGACCAATTCGACGTAGCCCTTTCAACCTGAAGCCTATATGCTTGGTAGGCGTTTTATTCTGATTTCTAGTGAAATGAATTCAGTGTTGTTATTGTAAGTAAAGTCAGCGACGCCAACGATTTCTAGCTTGTCGTGTGTAGACTAGCAGACCATGATGAGCCCCCTCTGCGGTCACGTTAGCCAGCAACACCATAGCTAACGTTAGCTACACACTTGGCTAGCTAAAGGGGTAATGTTGTCTTATAACTAATTAATCCGTGAAAGAGTAAACTGAAGCAAGCATCTGAGCCAGCTAAACATGGTAAGTTACATTTAACACGTATTATTTACTTCACGTTGTCTTCCTGTCTTGTTTGCTAACAGCTAACGTGGGTGCATACGGTTCTTATTCGTATTATTTGAACAGGGCGACCCACAGTTATCGATTAATAATGTGTTTAAATGACTTTACGTGTAGTTTAATCGTGTATGAGACATGCATTGCGGCCTTTCCATATCTGTCAATCCATATAACGGTTTGTGAGGCCAGGTAACGTTACTTCACGGGATGTGACAGCTCCTTAAAGCCATTTCACGATACAAGACGCCCATCTTGCAAAACAGAATATTTGCAGGGAGTAGTGGTGAGCCTCGGCAAGTTGTGGCTCATTCGAGGAATTCAGACCTGCCTGCCACGGGATCTGCTCTTTAAAATCTCTATTTGCTATCTCGTTTATGCTAGGCAGGGCCTAACTTCCCCCCCCCCTGCAGAAGCGTGGTATTACAATTGATATAACGCAGTTCTTTTGAGTACAGCTTGATTTGGCTGGTAGGACCAAGACTGGACTCATACAATCTTCAATACTGAACTATATAAGCAAGTCAGATTGCATTTGTGAACTGTAGTATTGCAATGTGTTAACTACATTTTCATGAGACCATGCCAAACGTTCACAATATTATTGATAGGGGGGGCAGGCAATGACCAACCATAGCTATGTTCAGGCATGATGTACGTACACATTTTTTTTGTCTAAATCATTAAGTAGCCTGCCTGCAATGACCATCATACAAAATGTGTCTTCTTTAAATTAGTCTACAGGGAAACATGTTGAATGCATACAGCTATTCGTTGTAAAGAACCTACTTGAATGCTAAATGCATAATGAATATGAGTTAATGGTAATTAACTATTCTCTTCACTGTCAGGATGGGTTTCTTTTTCATTGAAAGTAAATGATTTGTCTTAAGTTGAGCTTCTTCTGTGCATGTATTCTCCATCAAACACACCATTGAATTGTATCCGTCAAACCGATAGATTTCTCTCATTCTAATGAATTGATGATTGCGACACTAATACTGTATTCAGTGGTTTTGGTTATGCACATTGTCATATAGAAACAACAAAACGGAGCTTTGTAATTGAATGTACTTTATTTTGTTTCCTCTAGGCTTCAGAGGAGACATCGCTGCGTGCACTGGAGGGCCTAATGACCGAGTTCTTTCACAGCTGCACAACTAATGAGAGAAAAAGAGAAATAGGTAAGTGTGTCCTTGAAAACCCTACCAATACAAATTAAATAATTGGCATGGTCAGCAGGTACTTTCATGTGTGTTTCCGCCGGTTTGTAAAGGAAATAGCAATGGACTTATCTCTAAAATAATGAAAAGGGAAGACATTTAGTCAGACACTTTCCTATTGTCAGATAAATATCACATTAATTTACAATTTGAGGTTTTGTTTTATTCAATGTGAAACAATTGTAGGTCTCCCCTAGCTCTTTACTTAATTATAGTGTACATGTGACCTTATCTTTTTAAAAATAGATTTGTCGAATAAAGAAAAAGGACTCAAGAGTTCTTCAAACAGTTGATAGATCTGGATCCCAAAATACAATGTAGTGTATACTGAATACTGTAGTCTATGATTTGTCACTGTAGAGTGTTTATTGTGACCTGAAATTATTTGCTTTCCTTTCTACTGTTTTTTGCGTTTTCTTTTTACACACTTCCTGTGTTGTGACGCATTACTTTCGGTCTGTCTACATGTGAGAAAATTCATTTTCATGTACCTCTGTCAGAGATCATGCCTACTTCCTTTTTTCTGCAGAAGAGCTGCTGAATAACTTTGCACAGCAGACTGGAGCATGGCGCCACTGCTTGTTCTTTCTCTCCAATACTCGGAATGAGTATGTCATGATGTACAGCCTCACAGTATTTGAAGTAAGTCCTATAGGTAGAAAATACATATTTTTAGTTCCTTTTACTGTCTGGGGCCTTGTCATGCTTTTAAAATAAGACCGTACACAGAGAAAGGTATTTTTTTATAGCTACTAAGAACAAAAATGTCTTTCTTCCTGTTCCTGTTTCATAATTTCAATAATTTCCCGAAAACAAGTTGGCTTAATGTGTAATACATTTAGCAATGGATCAAAGGCTGAACATCCTGTGACTCCATACTTTCGCCTTATTTAATTCATTACTACAGTGCCCTTTCACAACATGCCTTTTCGGAAAGGGCAGAATGCTTGGCCTGTGGTGTTGCTGCTTTTAGCTTTCTTGAGACCTGCTGCTCATAACAACTATACAATTAACACCTTGGGTCCTGAGCAATACATCTGCCATGACATAGTTTCACACAACCAAGCCATGGCTACGCACAATCAGAAAAACCGATGAGGTACACTGAGCAGAGGTCATTTCCAAGTTGGGATATAAGTCTCTTGCATTGACAAAACTCATGCGTCCCTAATTTGGATTGTGGATTTAATTAGCGGTTAATTAGTTACAAGTGAGTTTTGAGTCGTACACCAGGGGAATATAGTGTTACCCTCCGGGGGGGGGGGAAAGAGAACAACACCTGCCCGGTTCAAACGACATGTTGGACTCCGTCTGCAGAACGCTGTAGATTGCCCGTGTTCCTGCAAACAGCACAGTTTTTTCAAAGTGTATTAATATTGAACATGTCTTCTGTCCAACTTGCACTTAATTTGGCATCTATACATCCAGGGTTCCTCAGCATTAACCACAATGTGTAAAGTACATCCGATTAAAGTTTCTTAGGAAATTAATGAGTTTTCTTCTTTTTTTGCTACATTATGTTTTTAGTGAAATGTGAGTTAAGTGGGCACTGTAATGTTAAAAATAAATTCTTGACAAACTAAAAGTATTAAAATCATTCCACAAGAATTACTAGTTGGAGAGATTATGGTCAAATGTTTAAAAAAAATAAGCTTTTCTGATCGCCTTTAGACTCAGCTTTAACATCTGATTGTCCAATTTCTATTTCAGAACCTAGTGAACAAAATGTGGATCGGCGTTGCTTCACAAGACAAGATGGAGATTCGCAGCTGTCTGCCTAAACTCCTACTTGCACAGCACAAATTGGTGCCCTATTTTATCCGTAACAAACTGTGCAAAGTCATTGTGGACATTGGTCGCCAGGACTGGCCAATGTTCTACCATGATTTCTTTACAAACACACTTCAGGTAAGCCCTGCTCTGTCAAATGTATTTTAATGCATTTCATGTTTACTTTCTATTATCATGTAACATTTGGAACAAGGTATTTTTTAAATAGTCACTGTTATGAGGATGTTGCTCGACATAGGGAAGTGCAGAAGCTATAATATGACCCACAAGAAAATTGCTCAATGTCTTCTTTTTATTTGTAGTCTATTGGCCCGGAACGCAGTTATGAAAGAAATCTTTGCTATTAGCATGCATTGAATAATCAAAGAGTGGCTGCCCTAAGAGTAAAGCTGAAGCTGTTTGGAAATATCCAGTGTTTACAAGATATGATGTAATGTACATTTTGGACCCTTTAGGGAAAATTACGCCACATTTCGCACACTTTTTTATTTTTCTGCAAGTTATGTCCCCTCTTTCCTTTCAAAACAGTGTCTCTTTTACTGTATCACTAGAATATGAGCAGAATAAAGTAATATATTAAGTAAACATGAGGGTTTCCTGCAGGAAATGATTCAACCAAAAGAATGAACCACATACAATCTAGCATGTTGCATCTTGTCTGATAGTTCATTTAGCGAACAGATGGCAAGCAAAATATTTCTTAATAGTTCATTTGCTGTGTGGAGGTTAATATTACATTTTCTGAATGTTAGTTATTCTTTGTTTAATGATAAAAAAAAATGCCCACCTTTGCTATACAATGCAGTGAATTAACGCTGTACTGTCGACCAACCCTAGTGGTTCCCTTGCATTGAACCAAACCGTTTTGTAGGACTTGTATTTAGTGGGGAAAATTCAATAGTGTTTGTCTTTACTCATGAAGCTTTTGTCTGTCTCTTGTGAACTGCAGTTGATCCAGTCCCCAGCTCTGTCTTTGTTGGGGTTGGTGATGTTGAAAACGACATCAGAGGAACTTGCGTGTCCTAGAGAAGACCTCAGTGTCTCCAGAAAAGATGAGCTACGTAAACTGCTGCTGGAGCAGGTACCCACAGTGCTTGGATTGTTGACGGGTGAGAATAACCTTTTAATAATGTTGCAGAACTAATGAGTGATACGTGCACATGAGCATATGTTATTATCAGGCTAATCTACAGGAATGAGATTTAATTTGGATATACAACCCTCCTCTGGTACAACTAGCTAATAAGGTTTAAATCTGACTTCAACAGATGCTTTGGTGAAAAACCTTCAGTATTGGTGGATAAGTGGGTTCTTGTCACATCTTGTTTTGCAGGTATCTTGGAGACCTATTGGGACAAGCACAGTGTCATAGCTTCAACGCCGCCTCCCTCACCCACCTCAGGGGAAAGTGGTAAGTGAATGGTGCTTTTGTAACATACATCTGCCATGTTGGGATAATCCTGGATGTTTTTTCCTGACTGAAAATATGAAGCATTTATCAAGAGGTTAATTGTTTATTATTTATTTTTTTGTCTCTTCAATCTATCAGTGGAATTGCTGGGCAATTTGTTTCAGGGCAGTCAGTACTCAAAGCTGCTGTGCCAGCCCATGGCGGCGCTGGACAATGAGAGTCAGCAGCTCTGTTGTCTGGTGTTGGAGTGTTTAGCTCACCTGTTCAGCTGGATCCCTTTGTCCACAAGCATCACACCCACCCTGCTGGCATCCATTTTTCATTTTGCACGTTTTGGTTGTGATATTCGGACAAAGGCCAAGACAGGATGCTTCATCTCCTCAAACTCATCCTCTTCTAACGGTCAGCTTAATCCTGGGACAATGCCCCCCACATCAAATGGAGGCGGGCGAAACGGAGAGCAGACGGAGGGCAGCAAGGTGGACCGAGCCCGGCTTGGGGTGCTCGCTATGACCTGTGTCAATGAGCTTGTCTCAAAGAACTGTGTGCCAATGGATTTTGAGGAGTACCTGCTGCGCATGTTCCAGCAGACCTTCTTCCTCCTGCAGAGGCTGACACGAGAGAATAACGCTCATACAGTCAAGACCCGCCTACAGGAACTTGATGAGAGGTATGGCTCAGTCCATTGGTTCACACGAGTGTGTGTACATACATAAGTGTTCGCAGACTAAACAGACTACATGACAACTTCATCCTGTGGTCACAACTTATCATATTTGCTTTATTTTTTTAATCTAATTTGCAGTCAGAAGTTTCACTGCGGTATTTCTTAGAAGTCCATCCCATAAACACGCTTTTGTTTTATAACTGTTGCTCTTTACCCTAGCTCTGTCACATGTGTCTTTCTGATCAAATCTTTCTTTCTGATACATATAAACTATACCATTAATACTACGTTTTTTTGCAAGTTCACTTCCGATCATAAGATACTGAGCTTGATTTTGTCACCTATCCTCACTTGTGGCATCCCAATAGTTATCTTACTAGTTTCATGCTTTGTAGTATGAGGAGCATTGTCCGCTGTCGACATGTAAATGATGGCCTAGCTATTACAACACTCTCTTACAACGTAGGCCCCTGATCTTTGTTTAACAAATATTGTTATTATCAACCAGCACACACTGTATAAAGTAACTGCTGAGTGGAACATGTTTACGACTTTAATGGTTTGTTTGGTTAATATTTTGTTCTCTTTCTTCTTGCAGTTACTTGGAAAAGTTCACCGATTTTCTGCGCCTCTTTGTTAGTGTTCACTTGAGGCGGATTGAGTCCAGTCCTCAGTTTCCAATTGTAGAGTTTCTTGGCCTGCTTTTCAAGTACACCTTCAACCAGGTAACGATAAATGTGTCAAGCAGTTGCTTATACAGCACGGGTTGTTTGTTTCTGCTAACAAAGCCTGTTTCTCATTGGTCTAACAGCCTACCCATGAAGGCTACTTCGCCTGTTTGGATATATGGAGCGTCTTTTTGGATTTTCTAACAACCAAAATCAAAAGCAGACTCGCTGACAGAGAAAGTGTTCTGAATAGGTAAGTCGCTCATAATCAATGATCTCAAATGAATGCAGACATATCAAACATTTGAAATGAAGCGTATAAAATGCCTGATGGGTTGTTAATAACGTGTTCTATGATTATATTTGTGTGTGCTTGGACAGGTACAAAGATGCCTTAGTTCTTCTGTTAAGGGAAGTTCTGAATCGCATCCAGTTCAGATACAATCAGGCCCAGTTAGAAGAGCTGGACGATGAGACGCTGGATGATGACGTAAGAACGATTTCCTTTCATTTTACAGTCTGTCAGTTGCAGCTTTTTAACATAATATTGTGTGTCCTCTTTTGAAGATGTATACCAAAATACTATTTTAATAATAGCATACCAAGCCCTTTTAGACAGGCACACATTTCAAAGACCTTTATCTTAACTTTAAAGTCTAACTGTTCTCTTTCGTTTGGGAACTATAGCAACAGACTGAGTGGCAAAGGTACCTGCGTCAGAGTCTGGAGGTGGTTGCCAAGGTGATGGAGCTGCTCCCATCCCATGCATTCACTACTTTGGTAAGAGTTCATTGTTGGTGTCCCATTGGCATTTTGTACAGTTATCAGAATACCTTTATTAGTCCCATGGAGGGGAAATGTGCGTAGTTACAGCAGGTAAAAGAGCCACAGACAGCTTAATGTTACATATGTTAAATATGTGACATGCATTTAAAAAAAAGTACTAAGTTATGATATAATAAAAAATAAAAAGTTACATAATTTAAAAAAAATACACATCCTGTAACAGTTCTTAGGATTTAGCAGCCAGGTATATATTACACAGTTATTAACGGCATCTATATATATTGCACATCTAGCACATATTGCACATAGGTGGTTGGTATTTAACAGCAGCAAGTTTCACAATTTACAAAATACAAAATACACACCTTGTAACAGTTCTAAGGATTTAGCAGCCAGGTATATATTACACAGTTATTAAAGGCATTTATATATTGCACATATTGCACATAGTTTGTTGGTATTTAGCTTCCCATCGCATTCAAGTAATACTGACTTTAATATTATATTAGACAACCTGGCCGTGACTGACTGCCTGGTGTGCGTCAGTCCACCTCAAACAGAGTCATGTTGAGCAGTTTAAACACTTTTTCACATCGTATAAAGTACAGTGTTGGACCAGCACAGTTCTCACTCCACACAAAGCACAGCATTGCTACATAACATCACTTCCAGCTAACTGTACTGAGAATAAAAAGGAAAAAACCTACTCTGGTCTTTGTCATATAAAAAGACAAAAACACTGAATCTGATGTCGCGTCCGAAATGAGTTGAAATATTTAGTAAAATCCTGTATGTAGTGAAAATGCTGTCATAACTTTATTTAAGTACAAATTCTTCATAAAACTGTAATTTAGTTTTATTTAATATGGTTAAATAATTTGGTTTTCTTTTGAAACCTTTACTTCTGTATTGTGCATGTTCCTTGTTTGTATTTATAACCTACACAATAATGTAAAGAAAGAAAATAGACAATATTTAAAATATATTATTTTTACATGTCAAGTATGGTGATTTATTCCAGTTGGTGACAGCCTTCATTTTTCCTCTTTTCTCTCTAAAGTTTCCAGTGCTCCAGGATAATTTGGACGTATACCTTGGTCTGCAGCAGTTTATTGTCACCACTGGAACAAGTAAGTATTCATGTTATGAGCTATATTCACATTTGATGAAGCTAATTTTATATATAAAATGTAGCATTGCCCTAATCGTGTCGTCCCTCTCTCAGGTCGGAGGCTGAATATCTCTGCAGAGAACGATTGCCGTCGCCTGCACTGTTCTCTCCGGGACCTCAGCTCCCTCCTGCAGGCTGTGGGCCGCCTGGCGGAACATTTCATCGGGGAGGTCTTTGCTGCACGTTTCAATGACGCGCTGGCAGTGGTGGAGAGGTCAGTGCTCTTAAACTCTTCTAAAACATTAAAAAGTTATTCTTCTTCCAATACTGTGAGTTTTCTTTTTAAATGTTTCTGATAGAACATTTTCTATACTCAATATATCTGATTTTCAACTCACTCGACAGTTGTTTTGTGTCTGTTTTGGAGATCTATTTAATTTCATTAGGGTTAAAATGGGCTTTGTGTTTAAACCAGACAGAGTGGTATTCTGTGGATTGTTCTATTTAAAGAGCAGAAACTCATAATGAACCGTGTGTGTTTTTCTTTTTCAAGGCTGGTTGAAGTGACTTGCTACGGCACTCAGACGAGCCTTTACGACCTGGAGACCGCTGTGCCTTCTGTGCTCAAACCAGACCTCATCGACGTGTGAGTATCACATGTTTGAAGCACAACCCGGCCTTCACATGGATGTCACTGTTCTTGTATAGGGGAACAATTGTTTATATTATGAAAAGCTCCCGCTTCAAATAACAAGACAACCCTGTGAAAAATAATAAGGGCACTAATTGTGCGAATGTTTGGTTGAATTTAGGCACTAAACAGCCCTTTTTCTCAGCCCTAACAAAATCCTTTCACATAGGGCTGCTCGATTATGGCAAAAATCATAATCTCGATTATTTGGGTCAATAATTGTAATTGCGATTATTAAATGCGATTATTCATTGACTTTGAAAACATCCATTTATTGTACTTTAAAACAAATACAAATAATAATTTGAACTTTTTAACTGTTGAATTATACGTAAAGAAGAGAGTATGTCTTATTTAATGCAAAACGCCTTTGTTGTTAACTGTGTGTTTGTGTGTTTTTTTACAGACACGCTCAGGCCCTTGCTGCTTTGCAAGCCTACTCCCATTGGCTGGCACAGTTCTACAGTGAGGTCCACAGTCAGAATCAGAGCCAGTTCATAAACCTCATCACATCTACAATAGATGCCAGTAGCCCACTCATCACATCAAAGGTATCTTGCCTCATACTTTTACTTTAAAGTGATATGATTGGAGAAGTCAGTCTTGGACTAATGTATCACTAATTATTATCGTCAACTCATGGGCGTTAATGTGATAAATGTAGCATCTCTTATTTGGATCAATGAAGACATTCAAATTGATCGTTGGTCAAACATAGCTCAGTGCAGTTCAAAGACCTGATCTTAAAGAGCTGTTAGTTTCATGTTGAAACAGTGGTTCATTAAGGAGGAAGTGTGTTACGGAAATATCCACCCACACTTACCCTTGAGCCCCTGTTCACAGAAGCTTCCTTTTGTGTTTTATAATGCATAAATATTATATTTGTTAAATGTATTATGAAAGGATTTTAGGACACAATTAACGCTGTCTTTGTTTTGTTCGCCAAAAAAATACTTAAAGGAGCAACTGCCAAGACTTTTGCAACCAATTCTAAAGCTCCTTTCCACCTAATGTGTGACATTAAAAAATGCAGGCGAATATTTCTGAGTAATGTGGGAGGAAGAGTGTCAGGGTTGGGCTGAGATGGTGAAATGAGATCAGTGTTGCAACCATGCAATACAATTGCCTTGCCTTGCCATGTGGTTCTTCTTTAAACTCCCATGTTGTCTTTACCTCCAGGTACCTGAGAAGTTGCTGCTCTCCTCGTGCCATCTGATGGTTTCCATCACCTCCACGGTGCGCCCGGTCTTCTTGGTCACGCTGCCAGCTGTCCGGAACATCTTCAACCTCATCACAACAGAGAATCAGCCCCGCAGACTCCCCCAAGAGGTACATGGTGGTTGCTTTTTCATATGATATTAAGTTATTCAATGTTTTACTAAGTTTCAAGAAGCATGTGAAGCTTCATAGGACCTTTATAGTTTATAAGATGGATCGTTTGTGAATGTCTGTCTTTTTTTCCCCCTTAAAACGTTTTAAATGTCCTCTATATGGATTATTAACTCTGTGTATGTGTTGTGTGTGCATACAGGCTCACATGTTGGTGTGCAGGGCTTTGTCCAACATGCTGCTGCTCCCGTGGCCAAATTTACCAGAGAGTGAGCAGCAGTGGCAGACGCGCTCCAGCAACCACGCCAGCCTCCTGGCAGCACTCACTCGAGAGTATAAGGGAATAAGAGGGACGGTGAACATTACTCCACGGCAACCCGATCTGAATAACAGTCAGTATTTCTTTCTCTTTTGATTTGTTACTCTCTGTATGTTCTCTTTTTCCCCACCCTTTCATACTTTATCCTGCTCTAATTGTGTTTTATGACCATCTTGTCTCTACTGTAGTGAAAGCGGTGATACAGCAGACCCTGCCTGTGCTCAGAGACCTAGTGGACAGCATCTCTGGGGAATCCACCAAATCCCGGCAGATCTGTTACCAGAGTCTCCAGGAGTCGGTCCAAGTGTCCCTCAGCCTTTTCCCAGTGTTTATTCAGCAGCCAGGTCAGTGTCTGAAAGCTACAGTTTGGCTCTCCATCTAGAGTTTGTTTCAAATGTTCCATCATAATATAAAGATGATGTAATCACTCCATTCACTTTTCTGTAGCTACTTCTCCTGTAACAGGGGGGCTATGAGTGTATGCACTGTAGTGTGGTAATGTGTGTAAGCATGCTTCTATGCCTTTTTAATACTACATGCATAATGATAACATTACATGTAACAAAATTCCATGTCCGTGTCATTATGTAATCTCAAAAACCTTTGTCTCCATTTGTGACTTTAACATCTCCGAGGTGACATTCATCTCGGTTGTTTGAACTAATCATTTTAAATGCAGCTTATTGTTGTATAAAAAACGTTGTTGAAAGTAAATGAACCTTAGTTAAACGTTCAAACATCAGCTTCGATCTCTTACCGTTTTTTCCTTTTATTTCCTGACTTTCATAGCAATCCAATCCAATCCACTTTATTTCTATAGCACATTTAAAAACAACAGAGTTGAACAAAGTGCTGTACATCAACAACTGTATAAAAACATAGCCTAAATACATAAAAAAACAGACAGGACATGAAACAAATGTAAAACACGAGACAATGAAACCAGATCAGAAGCCACAGACTGAAAAACTCTCCTACATGACGTCAAAACAATACAAAACACTAGTAAGATAAAAACCCAAATGTAAAAGCACAAGTGTCATACCTGGTCTGTAAATGCAAGGGAAAAGAAATGGGTTTTTAAACGAGATTTAAAACAGGCAGAGTTGGAGCAAGTCTAACCTGGAGGGGCAATTCGTTCCATAATTTTTGGAGCTGCAAAGGCTCTGTCTCCTCGCTGCTTTAACCTTGATTTAGGGACGACCAGAAGGAGTCTGTCAGCAGACCTCAGTGACCGTGTGGGTGTGTATGGTTTTAAAAGATCTGCCAGGTACGGTGGGGCTAAACCATTTAGGGCTTTTGTATTCTAAAATTGACTGGTAGCCAATGTAAAGAGGCGAGTACAGGCGTAATATGTTCACGCCTGCCTGTCCTTGTAAGGAGGCGTGCAGCAGCATTCTGGAACGTGACAGGGAAGCCTTGCTTACTCCAATGTACACAGCATTGCAGTAATCCAGTTTAGTGGATATAAAACAATGTATTACTTTCTCAAAGTCGTTAAAAGAAAGGAAAGGCTTGACCTTTGCTAAAATTCTTAGCTGATTTGACCACAGAATTGATCTGTTTGTCTAGTTTAAAATCACGATCAATCCGTACACCCAGATTTGTTACAATGGGTTTCACATATGGGACAAGAGAATCCAGCACAGACGGGGCATTGGGACCACCACTGGGTCCAAACATTATCACCTCAGTCTTTTTTTCATTGAATTTTAAAAAGTTCAAGGCCATCCAGGCTCTGATGTCCTGCAGACAATCAGACAGACGTTGCAGAGGGTTTGGGTCATTTATTTTCAGGGGCATGTAGATTTGCGAGTCATCTGCATAAAAATGAAATGAGACGCCATATTTTTTAATGATAGCGCCCAGGGGGAGCAGGTACAGGGAAAATAAAATTGGCCCAAGAATGGAGCCTTGGGGTACCCCGTACGGGAGAGGAGCAGAGGAGGAAGTAAAATCATCAAGGTTTACATTAAAACTTCTTTCAGACAGATACGACTTAAACCAGTCTAGAGCAGTACCACTGATTCCCACAGAATGCTGCAGGCGAGAAATGAGAATGCTGTGATCTACAGTATCGAAGGCAGCTGTAAGGTCTAAAAGTATAAGAACTGTTCCCAGAGTCAGTAGCTAAAAACACGTCATTCAAAACGTTTAAAAGAGCAGATTCAGTGCTGTGGAGGGGTTTAAACCCAGACTGGAATACCTCAAGAATGCCATGCACATTTAAGAAAGACTGCAACTGCTTCAGTACCACTTTTTCTAAGATTTTGGACATAAAAGGAAGTTAGAGATAGGTCGAAAAAATTGTCAAAAACAGAGGTGTCTAGGTTTTGTTTTTTTTCTATCAAAGACTGGACCACAGCATGTTTTAGGCACTTTGGTACTGTTCCTGTAGTAAGGCTGCTGTTAATTATATTAAGAATGTTAAGTCCAACAATGTCCCAAATTTCTTTAAAAAAATCGCGCAGGGACAACATCGCTTGGAGAACCCGAAGGTTTCAATTGAGCAACAATTTCCATCAGAGCAGGAAGTGACACAAGCTCAAACTGATCCATAACAGCTGAGCAAGTGTCCATGACAGATGGATCATGGGAAGGAAGTGAGATGTTTGCTCTGATGGCGGCGACCTTGTCAACAAAAAACTGTAGAAACGCCTCACAGGTTTCAGTGGAGGTTACTAAGTTGATGGATTGGGGGACATTTAGTATATAGTTTATAGTGCTAAAAAGAAGCAGCATTGCACATGAATGTCAAATCTTACTTTGAATGAAAATCCTATTTGTCAAGTCAACAAAACATGTTTAAGTAACCCTAACCATACTCTGTTTGCATCGCTGTTTTGACTGATTACAATCTATTTCATTTCTACTTCATCACAAAGGGCTTGTTGTACTGGCCTGCGTTTTTATTTGTGTCTCCTCTTCCCCAGATGTCACCGATGAGATGTTGGCCTTCTTCTTGACGCTGTTTCAGGCGTTGCGAGTCCAGATGGGAGTAGCGTTCACCGGACAGATCATTCAAACTTTCCTCGGCATGTTCACCAGGTAAGAAAAACTATTCCTTATAGAGAAGGCACAGTATCACACACTATTTAAATGGATGGGGGTTTACATTTACAAGTATAAGAAACCTGGTACAACTCTTAACGCTAACTCATGATGTCACTTGTCTGTGCTGCAGGGAGCAGCTGGCAGCCAGTATTCTGCAGGAGGGCAGTGCGGGCTGCAGGGTGGTGCAGAAGTTCCTGAAGATCCTGCAGGTGGTGGTGCAAGAGCCGGGTCAAGCTTTCAAGCCTTTCCTACCCAGCATCCTCTCTCTGTGCATGGAGCAGGTTTACCCGGTCGTCGCAGAGGTCAGTTGGCGCTCTCCTATCTTGAGTTTTATTTGGTGTATGTTTCTGTTTGCTTTTGGATTGATAAGCATGCTAAAGAGCACATATTAATCAAATCAAGCAAGTACACACCCAAGGTAAAACAATAGATAAGTAGCAGCATTATAAAAGTATGTATTGTAGCAGAATAATATTAATCAACTATACAAAAGTGTATTTTGCACATCATTTTTTAAAGTTAAAAGCAGTGGAAATCATAGAAAAGGGTACCTATTATTATATAATACAAATTATAATTAATGTATAAGAATCAGAATACCTTTATTAGTCCCACGGAGGGGACATTTGCGTAGTTACAGCAGGAAAAAGACTAGGGGCTGTGCTGGTTGTATAGTCTGACCGCTGCAGGAAGGACAGACCTGCGGTATCTGCGTATTCGGAAGGCAGTCATGTCAGGTACTTAAATGATAGCATGAGAGATGATATTCCTGTTGTTTTGGGCATTCATCACGTTTCCTGCATAACAGATGGTCTTTCATTCCCCTTGTCTTTGATAGCGCTCTTCCCCAGATGTCAAGGCAGAGATGTTTGAGTTGCTATACCAAATACTTCACCAAAACTGGAGGTACTTCTTTAAAACGTCAGTCTTAACCAGCGTCCAAAGAGGAGCCACTGAGGACACCATGGAGAACGAGGCCCAGTTCACAGCTGCCATGCAGGTCAGTGGATACAAGCTTTTTAATATAAAGACAATCTATGCTTTTATCTTTGAGTTTCTGTTTTGTTTAGTTACTTTTCAGGATAGCAATGGCTCTTAACATATTATTAAAGTAGTTAATTCATCTACAGTTAAAATATATGTCAAATCTATCTCCTCTCGTTATTCTGATTTGTGCTAAAATGTCTTTTCCAGGCTTTTGGACAGTCTTTCCTGCAGCCGGACATCCACATCTTCAAGCAGAATCTCTTATATTTGGAGTCGCTCAACAGCAAGCACAAGTTGTATCACAGAGTAAGTAGAACTTTGATGTCAGTATCTTTGTTTTAAGGGGTGGAGCGTGTCATAGAGCGAAGTTTATTTTCCTTTAGCATTCTGCAGTTTGTCCTAGTGAAAATGTCAGTCAGTTTAGTCAAGACTTGTAAATCTACTGACAATCACAGCTATTGGATCTTTTGTGAGCTGCTTAGATGGAAATGCTATATATATATATATATATATATTTATATATATTTATATTTTTATATTTATATTTTTATATTTATTGTTTCGCAATGAAATCTAGTCTGTAGTCCAGGGCTATTCAATTAGTTTGGAATGGGGGCTGGTTGATGAAAATGATCCAAAGCAAGGGGCCGGGAAAAAGGTGGCTTGAAATATGAGCAATCATATTAAGAGCTTCAGATACAGTAAATACTACAACAGCATAGTGGAGTGCAAATATTGTGTTTAATTAAATCAAACAACATAGCCCCAAGGCCTTTAGAGATCTAAATGGCAAGTTCCGGCTTACATGTGAAGCTAATCTAACCATCAACATCATTTCATTTAATTTAGGTGAAATGATCTAATGATTCACGCAGAGATGCAATAAATACTGTCACTACAGTAGCTAGTAGTTGGGTTTGAAACCCGAGCCTGCCGAAGTTTTCAGGCAATGTATTCCCCTCTATCTCTACATTTAACACCCTCTCTGGAATAAAGGCATTCTGGCCCCAAAAAAAAGTAGATTACTTTTTAACATTATACTCAAAGGGCCGGTAAATATCACCCCGGGGCCGGATTTGGCCCGCGGGCCGCCAATTGAATAGCCCTGCTGTAGGACAACTAAGAACAGATGGCAGCACCTAGATTAGTTTATACTATGTTCTCTTCCCTGTAGTTACTTTTCTAGGGATTGTTTTTAACCATTTGTATTGTCTCTTACATAATATGTCCTTAATGAAAGGATTCACCTGTTATTACCACAACACCTCCCCCTCATCCACACACCGTGTTTGAATGAGTGCTTATAACACATGTATAGACTCTAATGTCATCACTTTGTTTTTATTGTACTTCAGAAGCTTTTCCGGACCTCCATGCTCTTCCACTTCATCAACGTGCTAGTGCAGGTACTTCTCCATAAAAGTCACGACCTTCTTCAGGAGGAAATCACCGTCGCTATTTACAACATGGCCTGTGTCGACTTCGATGCCTTCTTCTCGGCCTTCATGCCAGAGTTCCTCAACGGCTGCCAGGGTGTGGACGCCAGCCAGCGCTCTGTCCTCGCACGCAACTTCAAGCTTGAACGGGTGAGAATAACAGTTGTATTAATATTTGTTTTAACCCACTGGTAGGTTTATTATGAGGCAAGACAGCTTTGACACCATGGCACATGGAGAGGCATACAGTAGCATTTCTACATTTGTCAACATGTGAATACTAAAGAGTGTTTAAGTTGCAGTGATAAGCAGCACAGTCCAACCTTTGTCTCTCACTGAGGCTTATTCTGTTTCCCTGTTTCTGACTGGCAAATGATAGCCATCTCAAATACTTCTTATGTTTTATCGCTTGTGAGAATCCTCTTGGCTATAGTATCACAAAAATGTCACTTTGTTTCTTGGTATTCCCGTACAGGTATTGGTTTGTTTGTCCTGTAGTCATGGGAGTAGTTGCTGCTTTCAATGTGGTTTTCTGCCCTCTAAACAACTCCTGTCTAGATTGACATTTATTTCCTCTTTTCTCTCCTCTTTCCAGGACTTGCCTTCGTTCACTCAAAGTGTGCAGCGGCTGGTGAACGACCTGCGCTACTACAGACTGTGTAACAGTAGCCTGCCCACTGGCACCATCAAGCTATAGCACAATGACTGATCCACCACTCCACACATCAACTATGATCTTCAAGGACTGCCTGTGCTGACCACTTTGCTGACTCCTTCTCCAATGCAGCTTTGCTCCGCCCTCTCAGAGTGAGGGGGAGGAGCCACACGCAGCGTGTTGTTGAGTAATCGGAGGTTGAGGATGCTGCTGATGTTTCTTTTTTATCTCTACTGTAGTAGGTTGGCGATGTCTTTTTTTTTCTTTTTTAAAGCAGCGCCCTCCTCATGGTTTGCCAATGATAATTTGGCAAGAAATGTAAACCTGGTCTGCAGTTGGCTTCAGTCCAGACCCGGAGCAGTCTGAGCCAGGCCTTCTCTCCCACGCCCCGCGACAAAGACGGCTGGGACTGAGCACTTTCGACTCATTTTGAGTTTTTAAAATGTCTGCTTATTCATTATGCCTTCGATTTTTTTCATCTCCAAAGGAGACGGACTCTCAACTTAAGATCTTTCATATCATTCCATTCTGAAAAAGAGAAAATCTGCTTGATTAATAAAGTGCTTTTTTAGTAAAACTCAGGTATTGATTGATTTGCAAGTGTTGAAACAGTATTGATGGTGAGAATAATGGTTGTATTAAGAGATTCAAGACTTTCCTGTATGTTTACAATGTTTTGCTTTACACTTGTCAATGGAATCTTTTGAAAATCCCTGTTGACTTAACATTTTCCAACTACTGATTATCTTTTCCACTCTTTAATTTTAGATGTACCTAAAAATTAAGAACACTGCTCAAATATTCAGAAAGTTAGTTCTGGTCATGTGACTTGATCCATACAAGGTGATACGAACGAATGGATTTATTTTTGTTCCCTTTAAACCCCATTAGTGATCCTCCCGGAGCCCTTTTTTATTTTTAAGGGGCGACAGGGTATATTTAGGCAGAGAGGACAGGTCAGCAGTTTGTGCCATCACTGTATATAAAGGCACGTTGTCTAAACGTTGAGACTGAAGATTATTTCTTGAAGCTTTGCACTGTTTGTCCTTTTTTTTCACCATTCAAACTCAGGGTGACTAATTATTGGGAATTAAAAATGTTGCATGTTTTCTATGACTTTAAAGCAGTGGTGGAATGTAACTAAATACATTCACTCAAGTATTTTACTTGAGTAAAAATATGGAGGTACTTACTGGAGTATTTTCACATTATGCTACACAACTACATTTACTTAAATAAATACTCTGAGTATTTTTCCACCTCTCCTTTTAAGTTTGATATATTAACTCTAACCTGGTTTACAAATAGTGTGTGCACATTGGGGTGTTGAATGAAGACACTTCTGAGTTTTGAAATGCATTATCTGAAATGTAGAATCCGTCAAATTTTGAGCTTTAAAAAAAGTTCCAACATTCCCCAAATTCTTATTTTTTTATTGGTTTCTTGCTAGTCAATCAAACTAAATAAAAAGCTTAACGTTTAAAGGTTTAAATAATGCTGTAGTTGTAGACATCGAAGTTGTTTATTTTTAAATCAAATGATCGACATTTTAACGTGTTTTTTTCTTTTTCTTGACATAAATAAGATAAACAGTAGTCATACGTCTGGCATCACTGGAGTTAATGTGTTCCTGTGTGAGCGACTGTCAGGGGGAGGCTGGCGGACAGGGGGGTGACTCGTGAGTTTTGATTGAGGAGAGTTGACTTTTCTCTCTGTAGGTAGACAAAACATGGCCATGTTGCAGCGGTGCATTTTTAAGAGACTTCTCCAACAACGGTGTTTAGGGAATCAAGATGCCACTAAAAGTCTTCTGTCAGCTGGGTTCGCCTCTGCGCTGCTGGGGGGATACAGAGCTGCTAGGAGCAAATCAGGTAAGTCACTGAATGTATATCAACTGGTCAGTAAGACTGTCAATTTAGATTTTTTTTGACATTTTTTCTCTTGTTTTACACTCTTAGAATGTGCAACTTTTTCTCTTTTTTTACACGGGATCTTTCAGTATTTAAGAAATTGACTGATTTACTCCAAAAATCTCTTGTGAGAATGTAACAATGACTTCATTTAAATAATAGATAACTGTTAACATGAGTGGCATCGAGTCAAACAGACTTTACCCCCGAGTTGCATCTGTTATTTGATCCAAACTTACCGGTGGTGTTGAAATCTGAAACTGATTCGCTTGCCAACCTCAAGGGGTCATGGCCTGGAATTAGGTTTTATCCGCAGTGTGCTACACAAACTCACCTACAGTGTGCGTAAAAGCACCAACACCTGTGCGTATTCTGGGTAATACCCAAAGCGCAGTACGGTGAAGTCCAGGCCCTGCGACACCCAAAACCTTTCTCAGAAGGAAACCTCGCTCATGTTTAGTTGCTCTCGTGGAGGGTCACGTCACGTATGTAATTGATCGCATGCAGTCATTCATTCGCTACGTGGTGTTGCAGTGTTTTTCAACCAACCATCTAAGAAACATTCAATAATATCTTATTTCATTCTACTTACATGGATAAGTTCGTGTGTGTGTTTGTTTAGTGAATGTTACCCTGATAACTTTGAGTACATATTTGTCCTCTTCCCTGTCAGTTACTAATATTGGCAGTGTGTGAGGGTCAGTGGGCTAAGGATGACTGTACTAAAGTTCAATTTTGAGGTAGTGTTCTAGTGCTTTACTTTGGTAATTACAATTGATGGTTCTTTTCACTACTGCTCCACTAGTTTTTGGGGGCGAATGTTTACTTTTTACTACTTTTATGTATCATCTTTGTAGTTCCTATAGTTACTTTGCATATTCATAATGTTAATCTAAATCTAAATTAATCAATGTATACATTACGGTATATTGTTATTGATTCAGATACCCAGCCAGTGGTATAAAAAGTCCCAGGCTTTACCCAAATAGCAACACTTGCTCATTAATGAATCAACAATTTTGATATTTACTGTGTTGGTATCATTATTTCATGTTTATCACAGCTGGTAAAGGTGGTGCTTAATTTAAATAATTGATATACTGCAGCAAGATATCTTAAACTATAAAATTAGGTAAATGTTTATTTATTAGTAAATGTATGTTTTATATTAGCTAATTATCTCTGTAGTATCTTGTAACTACAACATATTTGCAGTTGAGTAAAAAGTAAAATATTGGCTTCCAAAATGTGGAGTAGAAGTATATAGTAGCATGAATATAAATGTTCAGTTAAAGGACAAATACCAAGACATTTTACTTAAATAAAATAAGAGTAAGAGTAAGTGTGCTTTGTTACCTTCCACCACTGTGTACATAAGTAAGATTTTAAACGTAGGACTTTATAACTAGGTGGTAATCTTCTGTCTGTCCTCCAGGTGTTCCAGATGTGAGGGAGCGGACTCTTATAGCTGTGAAGCCAGATGGAGTTCAGCGCCGTCTTGTTGGACAGATAATTCAGCGGTTTGAGCAGCGGGGCTTCAAGCTGGTTGGCCTGAAAATGTTGCAGGTATATTAATCTGACATTAATGTGTTTGCCTTTATTGTTTTACATGTCTAACTGTAGCTGTCTGTGCTGTGAAGGTATCTGATGATCTGCTGTCTCAGCACTACTGTGAACTGAGGACTAAGCCTTTCTACCCCAGGCTGCAGGAATACATGACCTCCGGACCTGTTGTTGTCATGGTGAGGGCTCTTCTGTTTGCTTTCCTGTGGGATACAGCTGTATTTTACAATATTTCCGCTTCTTTTTTGAGTTATTTCCTACTTTTCATTAGATTACATACTTTAAAGGTGTGTTTTAGGTCATGATTGATAGAAAATCATGTTGACTGTGTGCACAATATTTCTTGTTTTAGTGTTGAATATCTCGTTGTGTGTGCATGTTGTTTTATTGTTGTTTAGGTGTGGGAAGGGCACAAAGTAGTCCAGGCATCGCGTACAATGGTGGGTCATACTAACCCATTGGAGGCCCAGGCGGGCACTATCAGAGGAGATTTCAGCTTCCATATCAGCAGGTAACAATTGATAAGTAATTGATCTCATTATTCTACATCAAGTTGCTTTTAGAATTGATTTTCCTCATTACTTACAAAGCCCTGAGAGGCCTCCACCCAAGTTGTTTTGTATCAAACCTCTTATTGTCCCTTACTGCACCCTGGAATCGTTAGGTTTTATCACTCCTGGTGGTTAAAAGGTCCAGATACAATCACAAAAGGAAAAAGAGCTATCGCATTCAGGGATCCTAATTTTTTCGAGTTACCTATCTGAAGAGATTAGGGCTGTAAATTCTGTGTGGTCTTTAAAATCCCTTTTAAAAACCTACTTTTTTCAAATTGCTTTTCTGTGATTTTATTTTCACTTTATAACATTTGTATTGGTTTGACTTTGTTGCATATTCTTTGTGTATTAGCACAACACTTTCTTGTAACTGTCAAAGATGTGATATTAAGTGTATTGTTTGTTCATAAAAAAACTGCTTTATGAGACTGCCATCTCCCAGATTGTGCATGTGATTTCGTCTGTCTTTGAGGTCAAATAATGACATGTGTGTTCATTTAAAGGAACGTGGTTCATGCCAGTGATTCTCTTGAGGGGGCACAGAGGGAGATCCAGCTGTGGTTTCAGAAAAAGGAGCTTCTGAACTGGGATTGCTTTGACCAGACCCTGACCTGTGAGGTGTAAAGACGCCGAGAGCCGGATGAAAATCAGTAATGCTACGTCCTCTCCTGCTGCTCAGGTCTGTCGCCTGTGATTGAAAAAACATGAGGCATATTCAGTGTTACTACGATTTAATTTACCTCAGGAAGTGCACTTACAGTCACAAAAAAATGTGTTGAAACATGTGTGGCTGAGGTTTTTTACTTATCAAGCTTTCATTAAACAGTAATCGTAGGGAGAGATTTGTGTATGTAATCGTCATTCTGTCTCTTGCAGCGGATGGAAACTGTATTTTATCAATATGTGGGAAACATTGAGGTGCAGTGTGGAGCCATGCTCTTAACTTAATTCAACTTGAAGTTTTTAGTGGCCAAATATGTGATATATAACTGAAAAGTAGTGTGTGGCAGGTTTTACATCAACAATCAATCTAAAGAAATCAAATGTATGTAAAAGTCAGATCTAATTTGACATGTTTTTCTTTCCAAACTGTAAGGATTTAAGATTTATTTTCCTGTAGCTGCTGAATACCTGAGGCAGACTATTGCATTAAGTTTTAAATAACAGCCAGAGAAAAAAAACACCATTTGAAAACATTGAAGAAAATATTTGACATATTTTAACAAAGCCATAATGTTATAATAAATATTAATAAGGAAGTAAGTAATAAGTCAAATGTAATGTACTTTTTTTGTTGTTTATTAAATATTTAGTAGTGTTGTTAGGGGAGTATTATCTCACCAAAAACGTTTTAGTTAAGTGATTACTTGAATTATGTCCTCAAATACTTAATTTTGATCGAGGGCATTTGTGTATCGGAAATTGTGACGTAATCCTCCTACCTCAAGGACAAAGATAAAATCAAATAATCTCTGTTTACATTTGACCTCAGGTGAATGTAAAATGCGCTGGTTCTGTCAGTTTTTATCTGTACTGAAGCAACATGATGATTTACCTCCACCTGCTTTTTTATAAACAAATAAATGCTTCTTACAGCTGAAAACAACCACTTCTGTCTGTTACATTGCTGTGAAATATTATCTAAACTCCTCAAAAGAAGATTGTTTTGTTATTTAACACAATATGTAAAGAAAGGTTTCAATAAATTCTTAGATAAAATACAAAAATACACATAATTAAAGTTTAATTCAAGCCACTATGATGACAGTAATGTGTCCCCTTATGTTACTGTGTGCTACCTTATGTCATGATATGCTCTGCATCTGAAGTCACAATGAAAAACACATATTTAAAAACATTTGAGTCTCCTTAAAATATATTAGAAATAGTCATTAAATAATGTATTGAATGTGTAATCTTTCTGCAGATAGCTAAATTGTAAACACATATTGATGTACAGGGAATAAAAACTCTGAATCAATCAAACATCTCACTTTTTTTAAAGTCCTAAACCTTTTTTTTCACTTTTTTATATGACCTTTTTATATAACTATGGTAAGAAGAACATCTAAATTAGTCCCAATTTGAATCATGTTATGTAAGATAATAACACAACTTGCTTTTGTTGAGGAATCTGTAGCTCATGATATAACAGCATGTATATTTAAAATATAATATATATATATAACATCACTCTGTGCCTTCAGCTGTGCAATCCTACAGTTCTCTCCATCGATGTTTGATACCACATCTGTCCCCTTAAACCACTCTCTCATTACAGGTTAATCCTCATCTTCTGCTTCTCCATCGCTGTCTCCAGTTCTGTGGATTTGCGCACATCCTGAGATGGACACAAGATAAAATGTGATTAAAAGAAAATACATCCAGCAAACTTTATATTGACAGATTTCAAAAGAAGCTTCTCAACTGTTTCAGCACATTCATTTAAAACCTACATTTGACCTTGACTTCTGTTTTCAAATACCAATCCTATTCGGCCATATCTAAAATCAATGTTTGTGCAGTGGATGCCAAATTGAAACACACCCCAGATGACAAACATTATGAAATAACTTTGGTACCAGACCAAGAACAAAAAAGGCTCTGCTAAATCTACCTACCTGCAACTGTTGACTTGTCCGGTCTGTTGGAACTACGATTAATTTCATCGTTTTTGAAAGTGAAAGGTAACTAATCTTAAATCAATGTAGGTCAGTAACAATGCGTTTTACATTGAGATAAGTCTGTGCATAACAAATGACGCAGGACAAACCCACGCATATCCAAACAAACTGAACCAACACAAACAGTGGACAAACCTCGAGGAGGGACTTCTGCACCATGATCTGGCTGTAGACTCTCACTCCTTCCTCTGATGACACGGTGCGCAGCTCCTCCTTATTCAGGGAGAAAAGCTGCGCTCCGTTTAAAATGCCCAGAATCTGAACTGTCCTAAGAGAGGAGGAACGAAGAAGAACATCAGTGTTATGAGAGCTTTCATTGTCAAAGTTCAGCTATAATCTGGATATAAATTACTTTGGCATATAGAATAATTTAAGCAGTTATAACAATAAGATTCACTTCTTTATTATTTTGTTATCACTGCCCCCAAATGTTCTGAATGTCCTCCTAGCTGACTCAGTTAAATTGCAACACACAAACATCGGCAGGGAGGAGGTTTTGACAGTAGAGGACGCTGTTGTGCAGTAAACTAAATCAACGTGTGTTCCTGAAAAGCTACATGTACAATATAATGCAACAAACTGTGGAAACAACTTTGATTTAATTCTCTTAATTGATCTTAAAGCACCAAAGTGTCCAATACCGTACAAGAGAGCCAAAGCAGCCAGTCCACTTGACCAAAATCCACTTCGTATTTTAGATGTCCTGGTATAGTAAAGTAAATTACTCCCATTTATCTTTAGTGATAACATTCTGCATGGGATGATTTAGTTAGGCACACAGCCAGTCTTTAACAGGATGGTTGTGATATTTCTTTAAAGTAATACCTAACCCCAAAATAACCTGTTGTATGTTAATAACTCACCCTGTACAAATGATTAAAGGAATTTTAATAGCTTTTTTGCTAGCATGCATCTACTGTGAACTAACTAACTATAATGTGCTATAATCCACATCTCATTATCCAGTTGTGTGCCCTTCCCAAACACATGCAAATCAATAGACCCTTACTTTTCAATACACTGTCTCAAGCTTTACGATAACGCAGGGTGAGTAATGATCATTTTTAAAGGTTGAAGTAACTGCATCTTGGCCATTAAACCTAACACATTACAAAGAACATAAAAAGCTTGTAGTTCTTTAACAATTTAGTTACATTTAGGACTAATGCACCAGCACAATAGGACTGGATGGATTTTGTAAAACAAATGTGCTTGCAGGTTTATTGCTGTTCTGAGTGTGTATCTTTTGTCTGAGCTCTAGTTTCCTCCACACTCACTGCTGATTGAAGCCCTTGGCGATGAGCCAGGCCTCCACCTCTGCGGCAGGTGAGTGATAGTTCAGGGGGGTGGAGGAGTCCGCTGAGCGGGGGAGCGTCAGCGGACGGATGGGGCCTCGCTTCTCAGCTAACCTCTGCATGAGCTCGTCATTCATTATCATCACTGCAAGTACAAATCACAAAACTTACTTAGGTACTTGTGGGTTATCTATCTGTTTTTAATTTAACCCTAACCCTAACCCTAACCCTCCTCTGAAAAAAACAAAACAAAAAAAGTGCGTATTTAGAGTCTGAAAATAAAAGTGCGTATTCAGAGAGTCTGAAAAAAACAAAAAAAGTGCCTATTTAGAGTCTGAATTTGTTTTTTAAGTGCATATTTAGAGTCTGAAAAAAACAAAGAAAGTGCGTATTTAGAGAGTCTGAAAAGAAAAGAAAAAGTGCGTATTTAGAGAGTCTGAAAAGAAAAGAAAAAGTGCGTATTTAGAGAGTCTGAAAAAACACAAAAAAAGTGGTGACAGATAACCCACAAGTCCCCTTACTTATAATGTCTAAGAAGCTCCTGTGATCCCATAGGTTTGTGAACTCTCTAATCGTGTACACATGATATGCCTTGTCTTATATGTGTGGGCTTGTTACCTCGGTCATGGTCTTCTCCCTGCATTGTTGTAGAGGGTAAAACCATGCTATGGGGTCTCATTGGGCTTGTAGGGGTGGGACTTGTCCCAGATGGGCTCGGTGCAGCATATGAGAAGTACTTTGTCCGAGGGGTAAGGGCTGTCTTCTGTTGTGGAAAAGGAGTGATGAATAAAAACTGTGAGACAAAGAGCCACTGTGTTTGAAAACTCATGAGTGGTGTGTCTGTACCTTTGACTCTGAGCGTAACACTGGGCTGGCTCTGCCTTTGCGGTTCAGAGCTGACAGGGGCTCCAGGATGTTAAAGGGGACAAATCCGATCTGGTCAAAGCGATTCCGACACTTCCACCACCTCTTCGATGACTCGATGACCTGCGAGAAACATGTTCTATGATCCTTTCCAAGAATGTATCTACTTTCACGGCTGGGTCATTAACTCTTAACGTCTAATTTTGGAAGCGTACCTCTAGTGTTTCTCCTTGCAGCACAGAGAGCTCACTGCTGTTTCTAGCTACAAAGTCATAGCTGCAGCAGAAATGCCTCTCCCCCTCTGGCGGGAGCTCATTTTCTTCTCTGAAACATAAAAGATTTTCCAACATTTTTAATCAAATAAAAGAGGCCCTATTATGCTCCTGGGGGTTTCCCCTTTCCTGTAGTGTGTTATGTAGGTTTGTGAGCATCTACATTATCTGCAAAGGCTAGAAATCCCACAGCTCCACTTCAAGTGGATATCAGTAATCTATTTTGTGTATCATTGAGTTAATCTCTACTTTATGGTTTACAGACTGGTTTTATTAGGCAATAAACTGTTCATTTAATCCATAGTGCTTTCTTATGTACTCAAAGACACTCTACAAAAACATTTCATGCAGCAAACAGAGGTTTCTGAATGAAGTAATTTAGAGGAAAAACAAAGAAACTTCAGAACAGAAACCAGTATGACAGGGATGAGTTATGACATGGGGGGAATGGACAGGAACAGGAAAAAAAGCATGTTTGAAGATGTTGGTTTTGAGTTTTTTTTTCTATGTGTTAATACTTACCCGTCATAACTGTCTTCGCCCGGGCCCTCCGCTGTCTGCCGAGCTCTCTCCTGCAGACTGTGCCCCCCCCTACTTTCACTGAAAGCATCTTGCTTGTGCTGCGACTCGATGGGATCCTCGAATAACTGGCCGGTCGAGTCATAGGCCTGAGGCTGCCATCCATCCAGGAACACAGGTGAGTACGGAGGAACAGACACGCTGAGGTGTGAACTGGGGAAAAGGGCGACAAGATTCTTGTTAAAGCAACACTCTCAAACTAAGATGTATAAACATACACGAACACACGGACCAGGGGGACGTCCAGTTGGGTCCTAATGAGGTCCACATCTCCTTTTCCTCTTCAGTCAGATGATCCTGGATCAGTGAAACAGCCCCGCTGGTCATAGCAGGACTGACCACAGATGCTCCTAACGCCGGCCCTCCAGTGGTTTTGACCATCTGTGAAAGAGAGGGTGGGTTCAGTCCATATCAAAGAGGGAGAGAAGCTATTAGATGAAACATTAGAAAGACTCACCAGTCCGAGAGGCAAAAAGATGGGATGTAGCAGCTCTGGAGCATTAGGCTGTGTGATGGATGACTTGAGACGGTCCTGCATAAACCAGCAATTCATGTTATTTACAGTAGAATTTACTTGTGCATTACCAGAGTCACTAAGTGCTCAAATATGGTTAGTTTAATCTCACCAGCAGACCAAGGGAGTACTTGATTTTCTGAAAGATGTCCACAAACTCTTCCTCTGATGGAGGCAAAGCTTTCAGGGTCAACAAATCATCTGTAGACAGAGGAGCACAATCATATCTACAGCTTAACAGGACACATGAAACACAGAAACATAACTGTACCATGATCACTGTTGTTTTACGGTACATGCATTTTCAAATTGTACACGTTGCTCTCAGTAGTCGTCAAGTATATTTAATTATCTAGAACAATTAGCAAGCAGCCATATGTAATTTAAATGGCATTTTTAGGAATGAAATAATGATAAGTCAAATTAAGTTCTCAAGTAAAGGTGTGGAGCGCTTGTTCCAGCAAGTACTCCCTACAAAGCTAAGCGAGTGACTAATAACACTTTATTTCATTAGTGACACATTGATACGTTTATTTGCCTATTCTTATCGAGGGTCACACCTATCCCATCATACACTTGGAAACACCCTGGTCATGTTGCCGGGACAACACAGAGAAAACACAGATAGACGGAGAACATTTCAATTCCTAGTCAAACTAATTAGCTATTTATATTGTGCAACGTTGAATACAAAACGTTCTTGTTTTTATTATTAATCTTCATGGGACAGTGGAAACAGCCCTGAAGATAACTTGTTAAATTGTTAAACAATATAGTTTTATTGGCGCTTCTTAAAGGTCCCATGTCATGGCCATTTCTACTGATCATAATTCCATTGTTGAGGTCTACTAGAATAGATTTACATTGTTCAATGTTCCAAAATCACATTGGTTTCTCATACAGCATCTCTGTATAGTATGTGTATTCACTCTCTGTCCTAAACGGCTTGTTGGAGCTCCTGCCCCCCCTCCCTATGAGCCCACTGTGCTCTGATGTGTGTTTATGTGTTACAATGGCATTTGTTAGCAACCAGAAAAGGACACCAGTAATGACAAACAGATGAGAATGCTGCGTGGGGTCTGGGTGCCGTGTTGGCGGGACGTTGCGGGCTCGCTGCTCCGCCCTTTGAGACTTGAGGAGCCGACAGTGTGAGCTGTATTACTGGTGTCGTTTCCTGGTTGCTGCGTGGGGTCTGCGAGACAGCGAGACACGGCGAAACTCAGCCTGAACTCAGCCCGTGTGGCGAACTGTGAGTGGAGATCCACGCAGCCGCGGCTGAGAAAAGCTCTATGCAAGTCAATGGGACTCCCTGATAGTTGAAAATCGACGCTAAAGGTCCCCCCACTGCGTTTGATAGTGACGCCAAGGGATCCTGGTGTGAGGACCAATTGGTCCATTGGGTCGTCGTTACGTCACTTGGTTCCCGGAAGAAAAAAAAGAAAAAGAAAAATGTCCAACGAGGCGTTTTGGGGCAGCATAGACAGGTCTTTTCTGTGTTAGAGTTTTACTCGCTACAGGGTGTACTTTGAGGGTTTGTGACTTTGCAGACCGTTTACATGCAGAAAAACCTTCATAACACACAAGGGGACGGGTAATAACCGGAAAAGCATGACATGGGACCTTTAATGTCTCTGGATTGGCTTGGCTCCAGCCACAGTAACTTCTTTGTCATGTCACTTCTGCGTGATTGCTGCAGGCAAGAATTTTCAGAAATGCCTGAAGGACTTTTTGGCACTTTGCCAATTGACCTGCTTTAGCGTGTAAATAGTGAGTCAATGCCTCTGTCTTCAGTTCCCTAGTTTAACTCTTCTTCTGCAGCCCCAAACAACATTCACAAATCTTCAGCTAAGCACCCCAAATATTTCCTCCTCTGCCTTCTGATCTACAATTACTTAAACCTTCATTAAACATCTGAAAAGTCTTAATATTATAATTTAGGTTTGTTTCTCAATACTCAGATGGATTTCCTACATGCTAAACGTTTTTAAGCAGGGTACTTCAACTCTGACCATCCTGGTTGAACTATGACTGCAGTACAACTCTCACCATCTTGGCCGTCCTTCTTCTTCTTGCTCTTTCTGCTCCTCTTCCCCCTCTGGTTGAGAACACTCTGGGCCTCAGCGGTCTGCTGCAGGCGAGTCATGAACCGCTCCACATCGTCAAAGCAGTGGTTCATAATCTCCTGCAGAAAGAACACTGTATTTCTTTTTGCCATTTACCAGAGCGACCTTCAGAAGGACCTAAAATGAGTTAACAGTTCATACGACTGGAAATGTAAGAAGTTATTGGTGGGTTAAACAACATACAAAAATGCTGAAATATGTCTATTAATTTCTTATAAGGTATGTTAACACATCTGTATACAATCCAACCTTGTCCCTGCAATAACTGCATTTTTAAATACTGTTAAATATTACAAATCTTAATTTAATTATGCGATCACATACCAATTCCCTCTCAGCATTCAATAGAGATGTATAATTGGACTCCCCACTGGCACCATTCACTGAGGACAAGAACAAAGCCATTAAAGCAATAGACATGCAACAGACACCTAACATGCTGTTTATTGTTGGTGACAATCAGCAGTATAACATATGCTGAGAATAAACATATACATACACATTAGACAGCTAAAAATACCTTTGCCAAAATCAGTGTAGACGGGCAGGACAGCAGGAGGCTGATCTCCGGGGACCATCATCACTCGGACCCCTGAGTGCTTCCGAGGGGCCACCGGAGGCGGTGATTTAGACATCTGTTGGTCTGTGAATGCAGATGGAGTAAAGTCAGACATTCAATAGGGGACACTGTTAAGGTACTGTCATTAAAAAATGTTAGTAACACTTTCTAAGATGCCCAGGTCGACTGTCTTTAAGTAATCTTAAAAAATTAGTATTATTAAATCTGTGCGAACAAAGCGTGACATTTATTATTCTATTTAACTGGTCATACAAGAAATTGAGTTCTCCATTTGACTCGACTTTTTGATGAACACCTGAAACTGGGATATCTACATTACACTAATGTAAAAATGTAAGCCGAAAAAAAATGCTAAACATTAAATTAACTGCAGATAAAACAATTCTACTTTACCTGTATAATCAAACAGTGCTATAAACAGATTATAACTAAATATATGTATGTTTATGATGCATTATAGACACGTGCTTGCAAGAAAATGTCAGTGGCAGTTATGAAATCATATTATTCTTAATTAAGTCTTTGAAATGTTTTTGATTTTGATAATTATTTTATTAAGTATTATTAACATTCAAGAGTCATAGCTATAATAATACAGTGCTACAAGCAGATTAGGTAGCACTTTATGTATGTTAAAAAAACATTATAAACAGGGGCGTCATTGAAAGTGTCACCAGATCTTTAGATAAATGTTTGCTGGTATTTCAGCTTTTTATGTGATTTTTCACATACAATTTATTTCCTCTTAATGGGACAATATGTACTTTTATAAGTCTTTGAGAAACTTTGATTAACATTTTCATTTGGACTTTTATCTGAATATTGTAAAAATAAAATGATGAATGAGAGTTTAATTATTGTCACATTCCTAAAGCTGATAGTAAGAATGCTGAGTATTCCTTCTCCTACGTTCATGTAAGTGACACTTGCACACGACAGGAAAAACCGCTGTCATCAGATGCATGGTATGCAGATGACACAACCACCAAAACTTGATTAAAAAGACTGAACCAGCTGTTTATCACAAGTTTCTGCAAACAGATTGTAGCTTTGACATCTCCTTTGCTTATCTCCACCATACTTATGTAGCAGTCAATACTGCATAAAAAATGTTTAACTGTGGTTGTCAAAAAAAATGCGCACTGCACTGGAAAATTATGACATATTCCAAAGTATCAGGATGAAGTGAAGCAGCTTAAAAAGTGAAGCAGTTTAAAAAGTGTCTTCTGAGCAACATATTACTGACACGAGCTGTCCTTCACGTTAGGTGTATCTGCTCCTCAAAAACTCTCTCAAACACACACACACACACACACACACACACACACACACACACACACACACACACACACACACACACACTGTACGCACAGAGTTAACACATAAATCCTAGATACATCACTGTACCTTTTAGTGCGGTTTGAGTGTTTAAATCCAGGGCACAGAGACCAATCCTCGGGCTGAGTTGTATGAACACTGAGCCTGGCTGTTTACACGAGCACGTCCCACCTTCTTGAGAAATGCAGAAACAAGAAAAGCAAGTCTGACTTTCTTTTCGTAGTTAATCTGCTTCACTCACCTCTGATTCACACACACACACACACACACACACACACACACACACACACACACACACACACACACACACACACACACACACACACACACACACACACACACACACACACACACACACACACACACACACACACACACACACACTCCCATTCTTCTTTCTGCATCTCTGTGAGTGTCTGACAGGCATTTCTATCAACAACTGCCTGTGGCTTGTGGGGCTATAGTAATCTGCAACACATGCCATTCCAGAGATGTAATGCAGACTTCCTCAAACTCCTCACCTCCACAAATTCATCAGGTTTCGTTTGAGACTAAGCCGACATAAGGCTCAGGGTTTTTAAAAGTTCAAATTAAAATGCGTGAATAAAAAGAAATGTAAGATTTAATTTGTAGTTTAAATCATTTTATTTGAACGTTGCTTCCCTTTATGACCAACTACCAATCGCAATCAATAATTAAACGATTTCTTATGTTGGTCTTGCAATTGTCTTTTCTCTAAATGCTCACATTGGCTGAGTGAAATCAGTAATTAATTACACATAAATACAGTGAATAAAATAGTTGTTTTGGTAAGAAATATCTGAAACAATGTGGTTAAACTGCAGGATTTCTTTTCCTAAAATCTTCCAGACAACATACAGGAAGAAAAGTGTTTTAAATAATATGTTGGAAGGTGTTGAAAAGGATGTTGGCAAAACATAAATATATACATGCCAAATAGCTAGTTTCTGATATGCTTTTTTCGTTGAGAAAACACACCTAGATTAAATGCAACTTTAGCTAGACGAAGTTTTAACATTTAAGTAATCAAGGAATCAATCCATCCTATTGTTATCAACTTGCAGCCTACAGGAACTTAGATATGTTATTTCTGGATACAGAGCAGGGAATATGGGTTAGGGAGAGCTGTGCTGTAGGTGAACAGTGACACCGACTGGTTGATTCGGGTTAGACTCAAACCATCCCTGCATCTGTCCTGATGATTAACTGTGGCACAGCTCTGAGAGGTCGTAAACAGGTGGTCGAACTGAACAACAAAGAGGTCGATTGTAGAGGAGACATGGGTAGGAACACGACCACAATCACTATAGTTTCTGCCCCATGCTCCGTGCTTTTGATGTTTCCTGTTGGCACTGCATACTGGAGAGATTCACAATGGGTAAAATGTAATAAAGTACATTTACTCAAGTACTTAACGTGAGTATTTATATTGAATGTGTATGTACTTCTACTCCTACGTTTTGAAAACCAAAATGTTACTTTTATTCCACTGCGTTTATTATTTATTATCTTAAAGCTTTAGTTACTTTACAGATTCAGATTATAGCTAAAATATGACATATAATTATAGATTTTAACATCAATAGTAATAACTTAGTGTTTTTTATACGATATATTAATATATATATATTACGATTCTGACCCATTTCATAATACATGATTTTGAAATACATTTTTTTGTACTTATATTTTGATGCCAATACTTTTGTCCTTTTACTTAAATAAGATTTTTTTACAACAGAGTATTTTCACAATTGAGTATTGCTACTTTCTACTTGTTTTACGTATGGCTAATGTTCCATCCAACTCAAAAATTCCCATTGACGTCAAAGATTTGCAAATATGATTTGCTCTTTTAAAAAAATGTTTTTCAAATGTGACATTTAAAGGAAACCTATCATGCTATATTTAAATGATATATTGTAGGGCCATACCTATATAAGGTATATTTATACGTTTCTGTTTTCGAAATACCAAACAGATCATGCATTTTAGCCATGCCTCATTTCGCTCTATGTGTTGTTTGCTGTCTACGGGTCTGATTTTGTGAGCTGCAGCTGACCACGCCCCCCTGCAGGAGAGGGGAGCCGTGCTCTGATCAGCTGCTGGGCTGTCAGAAGAGGGGGAGAAAAAGAGATCTCTGTCCTCCGTGTTTTATTATAGCCTATATAGAGTCGTTATTCATTTGTTTTAAAGCTCAATAAATAACAAAGAAGACCTTTGACCGGCACTTTCTAATTGTGTCCGGAAGATTTAAACTTTAACGGACATCTTGACCAGCGAAAGAAACTGAAACTGAAACTCTGCCGCACGGTCCCCTCGTTCCTTGGAAGAGGCGGAGAGGTGGGTGTTGGTGGACTAACCGGAGAGAATTACAGTGCTTGCCTCGACGGGGAGGGATTGCGTTGAATTAAAGCAGCGGCGGGAGCAAACGCTTGCCTCGGGGAGGGGGAAACAAAGCCACAGCGGAGAATAAACAGAAGGGTAACCATGGTAACCAAGTCTTCTTTGCTGCTTTTGTGGCAGACTACAGCGCCACTTACAGGCCTGGCATATGTACTACAGCGTCTCCAGCGCTTTCGAACGGCAATGGCCGTGGCTGTCTCCTCCTGATTGGTAGAGTTGGCCCAATAGCCGTAGCGCCACTGTCCTGACGTCAGGCCGTCTTTGTTTGTTCTTCATGCTTATATATGGGACTATTGTGACTCGCTCTGCGGTTAAAACAGACGGTGCATGAATGCCGTTTTGCGGTAAGTGAAATTCGAGTACTTTATTTATGTGTTTATGATTTCAATCAGCTACGTAATGAATGTTAAGGCTTGGGTTAGCGTGTAAGCGAGTGGTAGCTACATCGGTGCTAACGATGCTAATCTTAGCCTCCAAGTTAATTTAAAACCATAGACTGTATATAAAGGTTAAAACGAAATAGACAAGTGTTAAGCGTTAAGTGGGATAATACTGTAGAACAAAAGACTTCTGTTTGAGGTTGATAAAATAAGGTCATCATTGTAACTTAGAGAGATATTTTATTATGTAGGTAGGAACTTTATGCATCCTAAGGTTAATTTAAATTGGCTATGCTCAAGTATGTAGACAAGCTAACGTCGAAGTAGTGTATGTGAAATCAACCTCACAATAAGATGTGTGTATATTACAATTATTAATGTCATATTTCAAGATGATTACTTAGATATTACAATATAGTTGGTTGAGCTGGAGTTCATTATTGAGCTTACACGTTAACGTCACAGTCATCTGAAGAACGAACCCAAACCTTGTTGTTTTTATTAATTGCATTACCAAATTGGTATCAAATAAACAGTAAGCATTGGTAACACAACTTCCAAAGTTACAGTAAAATAAAAAGGACCATGACTCGGACAATACACAATCCAACATGTTCAACAGAAGATAATAAGTTATATTGTTTGTACACATGGTTCTTTACATATATATCTGTTTGTTTAAAGTTTCCAGGTGATTCGACAGGCTGGACCAGAGAGTGAGAGACAGAACTGGACTCCTCACAGCAGTGAACTTCAGCACAGGTACAAATACTCTTTTTTCATACTGTACAAAGAATCAAGAAAGATATTGGTTTAAATAAATGAAGTATTGACTTTAATACACTGATATACATTCCATTAAACAATACTAAATACTAGATCACAGCTACACATCAGTGAAGTTGAGGGTTTTTTCCATGCAAAGGGTTACATTTAGATGTTAACAAGCAATATGACTGTCAGCTTTCTAATTTAAGGTATTGAAGGCAAAGATATTTAACGCATAGTGAGAACTGCTATTTATCTCTCAATATTGTCTGTAAAAACGTGGTAAAAGTTATTCTTTCAGTGAGACAACAGAGCAAGCTTGTTTTAATAACAGTTAAATATTATTTTGATAATAAAATACATTTCAATGTTGATGAATTTCATACTGTTCATTCATAATCTGATTGTCTTTGTAGCTCACTGTTGAAATAAAAAAAAACATTACAATTACAAAATAATTATATCTACAGCCCCTAAACACAAGCACACCTCTTTCATAAATAACACACTTGTTCTGCAATAATATGCTTTATGTTTCCTGTAATTTTTGTTAGGAAAGGACATGCCTGAAAGACACGACTCAACATTTTCTCCTTCTCTGAGGGTCAAGAAGAACATCCAAGAGGAACATTAAAAGCTGATGTTATGAGATGTTAAGAGCAGTACAGGACATTCACTAAGAAACTACTTTTATTGTGAAGTCAGCTGATCGAATTTCCACATCTACACTCCATCAGCTGATTAATTCTATTTGCCTCACTTTATGAGCTTCACAACCTGTACCTTGTACCGCAGAGTTTGCAACGTCACAAATAAATGGGGCCAATCTTCAGTCAGATGTGAATGTGTAATCTAACATTTTCAGTAAGAATAATGGACAAAAGGAGTGCAAATACAAATTCAATTTATTGAAATCTGAACCAAAAGTTAATCAAACATGTTTTAAATAAAAAGCACATATGGACAGAAGGTGTAAACCTATTAAATGTATAAGTAAACACATTTAGTCAAATAAAGTGACAGACAAGGCCTGTGCAGTTGGTATCAGCTATGCCCAGCATGGGCTCCTCCATCAGGCCTGGTCCTCCCTCAGTCCTCTCCAAACCAACAGACAGGACATCCATCACACGGAGGTTTCTCCCTGAAGTCTCTGCAGCTCTCTGGCCACCACGCTGTCTCAATCCATCCACACTGAATATGAGAGGGGGAAAATGAAAATAATAAATGCTTTAGACCAGCGGTTTTCAAAGTGTGAGGCGGGCCTCCCTGGGGGGGGGCGCCAGAGAGCTTCAGGGGAGGCGCAGCATGAGAAAAAAAGTAACGAGAACAAGATGAGTAAAGTGTCACTTGCACACTTTTGGCTGTCTGTGGAGACCGAGTTCCCCCACCTCGCCAAAAAGGTTGTAAAAGTGCTCATTCCCTTCACCTCCACCTACCTGTGTGAGTGCGGGTTTTCCGCATTGACTTTGATCAAAAGCAAGTACCGGTCAAGGCTGCAGCCAGAGGATGATCTGCGTTTATTCCTGTCTACATTGCATCCCCGCCATGCAGAGTCCTGCACGGGTCTGATTTTCAAGATCCGCTCACGCCCCGCACCTGCAACGTGCAATACCGAACCC